ACAGTCAGGTGATCTGTGCCTTACTGGGGTGATGCCCAGCAGGCAGCTAGATGTTGGGCCTGGAGCCCAGAAGGAGATCTAAGTCAGCAATGGAAGAGAACTGCCAACAAGAGCTTCATTCTCCTGCCCACGCATGGGGACCACTACACCTGCCTCCCAGGGGAAGGTTTGGGGGCCATGTGAACGTCAGCTAGGTGTTATTCAATAGGAGTGCAAATGTCTGGAGACTGGACAAAACTCTGACTAAGCCAACTTGGACCAGGCTTTTTAGATGGGGAAAGGACACTGAGACCTGCAGTCCTCTCACTGTTCCTCACTCATCAGAGAGAGCCCCCAGCAGGACTCCTCTGTGAGGTGGGGCCCCACCTCCTTTTCTGGCTGGACAGTCAGCCCCTGGACCCTGGGGCTGGGGCGGGGCAGGGAATCCTGGGGTGGCCTGAGGGGCTCCTGCTTCTCTCTGGAACAGCTTGCCTGCCCCCTAGTGGACTTCTGAAGAGTCTCAAGGACACCCTGAAACTGGAAAGGGACCTTGAAGATTCAGTCCACCCTGTCCACATCCCAGTAGGGAGACTGAAGCTCCCAGCAGGAATGGCTTATGCGAGTGCAGGGCTGGAGCTGGGACGAGAGGGGCATGGCTGACCCTCCGGAAAGAGCCCAGGCTTTGACGTCCCGCAGCCCCAGGTGAACACAGTGGCCGTGGGGATGATGACACCCCCTGCCTAGGGCTACAAGACCAGCTCTCTGACACAACACACACACCGCATGTTCAGTAACGTGTGGCCCTTTCGTCCTGCTCTACATCACTTCACCCCCCTAGAAGAGCGTAGACTCAGTTCAAACGGTCTTTGAGCAAACCTGGATCTTCGTGCAGGTGGATTTCCTCAAAGTGAGGTTCACCTGCCACCATAGCGGCCTCCTCCACCTCCCCTGCCCTATTATAGTTCTTCTCCTACTGGGGTCACAGAAAGAGGGCTTAGACCCAGCCCGGCCATTAGTAAGTCCCCAGTCTGCAGGGACAGGGAGGGACAGGGGGCCTGGGGGACTGGGGGCCAGAGGAGGTGCCCCTCCTGCAATATGCAGGGGTGAAGCAAGGATTTCAGGGAAGGCTTCCTGGAGGAGGCAGCAGGGGAACAGAGGTGTGGAGGGTGAGGAGGAGTTGCCCAGAAGGGGTGGGAAGCAAGGGGCTAGGGAAGACTACCCACGCTAGTGCAGGGGTGGAGGTGAGAGCATCCATAGCCGCAGGAGGGGTGGTGGTGAGGAGAGACAGGGCAGCCAAGGGAAGCCATGGGCGGACACACTGCCCATACCTGGCCTGCAGGGTCCCAGCTAAGCATTTGACTAAGCAAGCCCAACACAGAGAAGAGCAGAGGAGAAACTAGGCAGGAGAGCTCAGGAACTGGCATTGCAGAGGGGAGACTGTTCGCTGGAAGACTCTGGGCTAGCCACTTCTTTAGTCTGTTAGTTCATCCATTCAGTTTCCCACTGCACACCTCCTCCTGGGCATTGGGCTAAAGGAATGAACTAGATACAGCTCCTGCCATCCAGTGAGGGTCAGGCATGCAATTACTGATTCCATATAGGGGGCGGTTTGAGAAAGGGTTTCAGGAAGAGGTAGTTTCTAGGTGGGCTTTGAATGATGTTTGGGAGTCCGCCAAATCTGGAAAAAAGGATAAAGACGTGTAGGTAGAGAAACTGCAAGACTAAGATGTGGCATCATTCGGGGCTTGGGGGAGAGCAGTCTGTCATGGCCAGAACGTTGAGTGGAAGGGGGCAGATGGGGTGAAGCCAGCGTGAGTAGAAGAAGGCCAGCCTAGAGCATTTGGCTTTCCCAGGGAGTCCGTCCTAAACTGTGCCTGCCTGAAGAACCATACACCAAATGCTTCCAGATCACCAGGCCCAGCAACGACCTTCTGTCTGCCATCATGAGTAGTCCACTCCTTAGAGGTGCCAAGAATGTTCTGTTGCTGGAAACCAACTAAGGGACAGGAGGATGGCACCAGGCTAATGGCAAAGGTGGAGGACTTCACAGGGACCAGCTAGCACTGACTCACCATGAAAGTCATGACTTGGGGCCCCATCTCTGGGGTTCTACCAGGGCAGATGCAAGGAAGCCCCATGCAAATGCCAAGCTGGCTCCTCATGAGAGGAGTGTGAGCTCCTCAAAGCCTCCTTAGCCTCAGCAGGAAGGTTCTGTCCTCACCCGCCATTCACAGAAAAGCTGGGTGCCCCCTGCGGCTGCCCCCTCTCGAGCTTTCCAGGGACCACTGCTATTTCTCTGGGCCTTTGTCACACTGTGTAACCACCTCCTATCAGAAGACAGAGGCATGGACAATCACTTCAGCCCTCTGAGCCTCTGTCTCCTCATCCAGAAAATGGGCAATTAACTTCTGTCTTGGTGAGTGTTGTGGTTGAGACAATGTACATGGAAGCTCCAGGCACAGGGCTGGTAGTGGTACGTGCACAACAAGTAAGCCTTAATGTCTCCCAGCATGGAGGAAACGAGCCCAGCCCCGGGGCGGAGGCACAATCCAGGAGTAAGGCGGGCGCTGGCCTTTGTCCTCAGCAATGGTGTCCCCAGCTGATGAGGGAAGGTTGGGGAAAGGCGAGTACCCCCGGGCGGGGGGGGGGGGCGGGGGGCATCTATTCATATGCAGTGTGTCAGCATTGGAGACCGAGTTGCCTCCTGGAGTCCCCAGGTTCTGCCCTGGAGGGTCTGAGAGGGACCTCTGAGAACAGAGCTGCCTCAGCCCTTCTCAACATGGGCAGCTCAGAGGGTGGCCGGAAGGACAAGGCCTGCTCTCCCCACACCACCATTCCGGAGGGCCCGAGAGCAAGGAGACCCATGGCTGGATCCAGGCACAGTCTGACACCAACCCACACACAGACACGGCGTGCACTTGGACACACACCCTCAATGCACGAATATATGGAGATCTGGCGCTGCTCCCAGACGCACACGCACGTGGACGCATGACATACACAGCTGAAGCAGTACGTGTGCAGACCCCCGAGGCCCACAGATGTACAAATGCACACGTGTGTCTGCATAAACGCACATCTGCGCGCCCTGACAACACGCACACGTTCACAGACGAGCACACGTGTGCCGACGCGGCACTCGCCTGCTCGGCGCCCTTTTGCCCCCGACATCCACATAACGTACACAGAGCCACGCAGGGCTGTTCACACATGGGTGCGCCCCAGGTGACGGCGTGTGTTCACAGCTATTGCCACCTTTGACCCAACGGCAGCCCCGTAAGGCAGGCAGGGCAGGGGCCTGGTCCCTGCTGTACGGTGAGGAGCCCAGAGCGCCGAGAGCCTGGGGTCTGGGATGCCACTGGAAAGCTGGCTCTTGCTTGGACTTCTGGTCTCCTGGGTCTGCCCACCACCCTGGGCTCCATTTCCTCCATGGGTGCTCACCGAGACTCACCGTGCACAAAGCCTCACGCCCAGAGGAACCTCGAAGTCACCCACATCCCTTCTACAGATGAGGAGAGAAAATCCACAAGCAGAACAGAGTTCAGTGGAGGAACCAGGGCCACGCTGCTGTCCCCACCACTCCCTTGGCTACACCACAGTCACAGATGTGGGCACACGCAAAGCCGTGGCGTGTCCCACTCCCGGGCGTGGGCGGCTCCTCGCTCCTCAACACCTCTGCAGGTAGGGTCCCCTCTCAGCCTCGTGTGCTGTGTCCGCAGAGCTCTCTCACCAGGGAGCTGAGGGCGACCGGCCCCGTTCTGCATTTCCAGAAACTCGGGAGTAAAAGGGTTAGGCCCAAAGTCATGCAAGGTCAGGAACGGCAGTGGCGTCCCCCAAAGCTGAGTCTAGCACTTTCCACCACGCAGCTGTTCGTGGCTCTGTACACACATCATCCGTGAGCCTCTCCCATTTCCTCTCTCATGCTCCAGTGCAGGCGCGCATACACACACGCATGCACGCACACGCACACACACACATGCATGCACGCACACGCACACATACACACACGCATGCACACACACGCACACACAGACACGCACGCATACACACGCACACACGCATACACATGCACGCATACACACACGCACGCATACACACGCGTACACACACACGCACACATACACGCACGCACGCACGCACACGCACGCATACACACACGCACACACAGACACGCACGCATATACATGCACGCATCCACACACACGCACACACGCATACACACACACGCAGCCTAGCTTCTGCGAGCGCACCCCCCACTGGAACATTTTTCCAACGACCCCCAGCTCCATGTAGTGCCAGCTCTGTTTCCCAAGGGGTCTTTTGAAGAAGGACAAGTTTGTTTAGGGCTGAACCTGCCCCCTGGCCCCTGGCCCTCTGCCCTTAGTCAGGGAAATGAATTCCACCTGCTTCTGTCTGCCTGCTCTGAAACCAACCCCGGGGGCTTTGGTGAGCACTCTTTGATGTCAGAAGCCAATCTGATGAGTAGGTTGTGGATTTGTTTGCTTTTTTTTTTTTTTTTTTTTTTTCCGGTAAGACAGAAGTCTCACTTTCCTAAGAACTAAGGAATTATCACTCCACTGCCCTTCCTTCCCCTGAGATTCTGGGAGCCCGCGACCTGGACTCCCCGCACGGTGCTCACAGATACCCAGAGGGTGAGGCTGGTTAGGGAAGGAGGCAGCATACTTACAGTGTTTCAGGAACAGGGCTTACATGGGCTTCGTCAACACCCATTTTAGAAATGACAAACAGTCTCGGAGACGTGAGGTGATGTCAGGAGGTAGTCCCTCTATGTCGGGGGCCCTCGTCTGCCTGGCCTGAGCTCCTGGTCCCCGTCGTGCTTTTCCCTTTGACAGCTGTGCCACCTGCCTCTGGGCCCAGGCACTTCAGCTGTACAGTGGGAACAGTGTTCTGGATGTGAGGAATAACAAGCTCTATGATAACAAGCTCTCAGAGTCCAAACGATTTGTCAGGAACAAAGCACTGCGTGAAAGGGAGGGAATATTTCTATTTTTATTGTTTTTGTGTCAAGCGGCAAGTTTACCCACAGGATTCATACTGGAATGCATCAATTAATATCGCTCTAGGGCACTTAGTAATGAGTACCCTGTTGGCTGCCAGGTTGCTCAGCAAGGGAATTCTTTGTGGGGACTGGAGCAAGGAGAGGGTTTGGGAATATCTAGGCACGAGACTTTCGGGGCTGGCACAGGCCCCTGCTCCCCTCGGTCCTCCTTCTCAGGGCCCAGCAAAGGCCCTCCCCGAGCTCCCGGGCCTGGCCATGCTCTGGCGCGCTTTGGCAAATGCCACCCTGATTTCTTGGTTGATGAGGTCCTGCCAGGGATCCCTAGGGGAAAAGGAGAAACAAGAATAATAAGACCACCACCCAGAAGAACAGGGGTGGGCATTTTGAGCCCCCAAATGCTTGCAAAGAGCCCCTCTGCTTCTTGGGCTTCTCCTGCTCCCCGCAGCAAACCCACCATGGGCATCCTCAGACCAGGCTCAGAGAGGAGAAGTGTGGTAGACTCGTGTGCATGCGGGGCTTCGTGTCCAGCAGCCTCCCAGGAGGTGGGGAGCTGGCCCCATCCCCTGCTCCAGATGGTTGCTAGGAAGCCAGAATGCCATGGGTTGAGGGGCTCTGTGACTTTTAGGGTACCAGGCATATCTGGGATAGGGACCTTGGACCCCCACCCTGCACACACTTTCATTTTTTTACTTGCTTCCCTTATGTGCCTGGAGGAGGGTAGGTTAGGGTTATGACCTTTGCGTGGAGAAGAGAGCAAGGATCTGGGTGACAGCCAAGGCCTCACATCAACCTGGCAGGGGACACTTCTGAGCCTGGTTGGCAGGGATAGAGGGAAGACAAGGGACCATTCTGCAGAGTGTTTCTGTGACATGAGAAGGAAGGCACTTCTGCGGGCCCTTCTGTTGTGGCTACACCAAGACATGGGAGGGGGCCTTGTGTCCCCTTCCCCTGATCTTCACCAGCTTCCCCAAACACCCCCAAATAGATAAAGATAAATAACTTCTACAGGTATGGCAAATACAGCAAGTGAGGATAAAAGCATCTTTAGAAAACTTGACTTTAAAAAAAAATTCATGTTAGAGCATATAGTTCAAGTAAAAATTTGGTAACTGCCTTACAGACAACTCCAAGCCAAGTCCCCCTAAGCCCTTCCTGCAGAGATTCCGTGTGTGCGTGTGTGTGTGTGTCTGTTGGTCTGTCTGTGATCTCATCTCCAAGTACGAAGAGGGCATGTGGTGGCGTTTCCATGTGTGCGTGTATCTGATGCCTACGACGGATGTAATGTGGGTGTGCACACGTGTAGGCACACTTACGTTTGTGGGTCCCGTGTGTCTCCGTGCTAGGTCTGAGCCTATTCTCCCCCGCCTGCCCGAAGGCCTGGGACGCTCCCGAGTCAGGTGGAACTCCCTGGGACTCATCTTAGCTCCCTTCCCTCCCTGAGCCAAGAAGATGAAAACGTTTCTAGCACTTTCTAAAGTTTCCATCGGGGAGTGGAAAAGTCATCAGCTGACGAGCTCAGGATGACAAATGGTTGCCAGACCTGCTATTCCCGCTCCTAGGTTGGGGTAGGCCAGGGCCTGATGGGAGCCAGCGGGAGCTTCAGAGCTCCCCTTCCCTGGGCTCCTGGCACTGAAAGCCCTGCGGTGCATCTGCCGCAGGCCAGATCTCCTGGTGCTTATGTAAGCAGGGGAAAGTTCCATAAAGGAATCAAAAAGAAGTGTCAGGAAGCGGCAAGTGCTATGGGGGTGTAATACTGGGAGATGGGAAGGAGGTGACAGCAGGGTTTCCTTTAGCGCATGACATCTGAACTGCCTGCCTGCCGAACGAGCGGCGTCAGAGCTGAGGACTGCAGGATAGCAAGGGAACGGGCCAGGGTACTGGGATAGCAGGTGCAAAGGCCCTGAGTTAGAAAGACGTTCAGGGTGTATTAAGGTAACAGCAAGGAGGTCCCGAGCAGGTGGTGTGCAGTGGAAGGTGGCCAGAGAGCCCAGGCCAGGGGCAGGCCCAGGCCCAGAGAAGCGGGCCTCCAGGGTAGCAGGAAAGAGGTTGGTCTTGAGGTTCAGAGCAGTAGAGAGAACCAGAGGGTATTAACCGGGGGACTTTCCTTTGGATCCTGTTCGTGTTGTACTTAAGACCTTGCTCGAGGGGCGCCTGGGTGGCTCAGTCGTTAAGCGTCTGCCTTCGGCTCAGGTCATGCTCCCAGGGTCCTGGGATCGAGCCCCACATTGGGCTCCCTGCTCCGTGGCGGCCTGCGTCTCCCTCTCCCACTCCTCCTGCTTGTGTTCCCTCTCTCGCTGTGTCTCTCTCTGTCAAATAAATACATAAAATCTTTAAAGAAAAAAAAAAAAAAGACATCGCTCAGGCTGCCAGGTGGTGGGTGGAGAGGCACAGTGGATGGGGGAGTGGTGAGCCGCCCCTGCCCCGGGCAGGAGACAGGTGCTCAGGTGGAGCCCTCGGGTGGGGGTGTGGTGGAGGCAGAGCCCCGGGGACTCCAGGACGGCGTCCTCCACCTTTCAGATGGAGGATTGCGAGGCCACCCACGAGGAGAGAGCTCTGGAGGTGGGCCAGGCTGCCAGGTGGGGCTCCCAAAAGGATCTGTTGAGGGACAGCGAGCGCTCCACAGCCCAGAGCTCCGGAGGAGGGGTCAGGCTGAGGCCCTTGATAGATGTCAGCAGCGTCTGGGTGGGAAGGGAACCCCCGCATTTCGGGGTCTGGGAGAGGCACGGGGCTGGCTGGCGGGGAGCCTGAGGAGGGTGAGTTGGAGAGGAAGGAGCCCAGCTGGGAGGCCTGGGGCATATTTCTGGGAAGAGGGAGGGCAAAGGGGAAATGCTGCCGAGCTGTGGGTCGGGTTGAGAACATAAAACTGGCCCGTAGATCTAGTGACACGGATGGAGGTCACCGGTGACCTTCACAGAGTCTTCTGGGTGCGTGGGGGTGAAAGTCAGACTGCGGGGGCTGGGCAGGGAGTGGTGGGTGAGGAAGTGAGGTCACCATCAGCAGACAGGCCTTCTGAGAAGTGCGGCTCCCGGCGGGGGCGGGACCTGGAAGGCTGTAGGGCGGAGGAGGCCTGCTCTGTAAGACCCAAGAGAGGCGGGCTGGAGCAGAGCACCTTGATGGACAAGGAAAGGACACGAAGGGCCACAGCTGTTCTCCTGCGGATGGGTGAGCCAGGGTGCCGTGGCACACGCCGTTCCTCACCCCACGCTGCTGCCCAGCAAACTGTCCACACAGACACTGTCTGCGAAGTGGAAGGACCCTGGGCTGCGTGGAAGCCTTTCTGTGAGCAGAAGCTGCTTCTGCACCCACGAGGCTGGGGTGGCCTTATAAAAAGGGTGCCCCTGTGTGTCCTGCACCCTGGTGGGCACACAGTGTGGGCCCACCGGCCCCCTCCCCTGCCCTGCTGTGCTGGACTCTGCTCTGTGTCAAGGGGAGGACACTCGAGATGGCCTTGGGGCACCCTGACAGCAGGTGCAGAGGAAACGGCCTCCGTGAGCAGCTCCCTGCCCGTAGCCCCGGCCCCGCCAGCCGGGCCCCTTGGGCTGCTTCAGTGCTGGGCATCCCACACACTTCTTGTCTTTGAGAGGTGGGGGCAGTCTTGGGTGCGGGGCCGTCCTGGAAGAGTGGAGGGGAGCCAGTCGGAAGTTCTGATGACAGAAAACCCTAGTGGGGCTCAGCCCCCACATCTGCAGTGGGCCCCTGGGCCCCAGGACCTTCTCATTTCTAGGAAACTGTCATTTTCAGCCATTGGCAGCACCCGGCCGCCCTGCCCTGGGCCCTCTGTGGACTGGCTCCTGCCCGAGAAGAACACGTCGCAGCAAAACAGCTCCCCCGCCACCCCGCCCTTATTGCCCTCAGGGAAGGACACAGGGTCACACAAAGGGAAGAGCCTAAGTGCCAGGCAGGCACAAGCTCTCTGAGGATCTGCCTCATTTGGCCCCTGACATGTGCGTGTCCTTTGATCTATAAATTCCTCATTTGCAGAAAGAGTCTGAACCGGGACAAACGCCCAGTCACTTTTTACCAGCGCATCACCGGGACCCGGCTCAGAGTGGGCAGACTGCGCGTGCGCAGCACCAGGAGCCAGGTGGAGCTCCCCGCGGCGCAGCCCCGTGTTGCGCTCCGGATGCTGTCGCGAGGGATGTGTGTTTCCGAAGTGCTCTGACCCGAATGGAGAGCACAGATCAGAATGAGAGACCAGCCAGGCAGCGTGACCGCATCCACAACCAACGCGTCAGCAACAGGCTGTCTCTCAACAGTGGGAAGAGGTGACTATTTAATCGCTAAAGAATTGTGTATTTTCCGTTTTCCCCATCGGGCAGGTGATAATCTTATAATCAGAAAAAGAACAAACTTCAAACAAAAAAGGCTGAGCTTTGGGGGAAATTCCTCTTACTCACCCAGGTTTGATGTCCAGAGGTGTGGGGAGGGACCCACGGAAGCCTGCCTTCCCCACCAGCCAGTAGGTCTCCTCTACGCCCTTCCCCTGGAGGAGAGAGGAAAGGGGATTGAGCACAGCTTCTCAGGCAGAGAGCAAGGCGGGAGGAAAGGGCACAGTTCCGAACAGCTCCGTGCAGAGCAGCCTGGAGCCGGGAGCCAGACTGTTTGGGTCCACATCCTGGCTCCGTCACTGGCTAGCTGTGTGACTTTGGCCAACTTACTTCACCTCTCTGTTCCTCAGTACCTCATGAGTTGCTGTGAGGATTACATGCATTAATATTTATCTCTTAGAGAAGTAACTGAATAATAAATCGTGAATTCTATGACCAGCAGATCTGGAATGCTAAGATCCCAAGATGCTATGATCTGTGATTTTCCCAAACTGTCGAAGGACCCCATTGCCTGAGATGGGGGTACGGCTGCCTGGAACTTAGGAGTAGAGGGGGCATTAGGGTCACTGGGGCCAGGGCTGGCTGGCCTATAGATTTGGCCACGGATGGGTATTGCCCCGTGGAGCTCCCAGGCCATCCTGAAGAACTGTGGTTGGTGTGCTGGCCCCGCCCCCCTCTCTGCATTCCCCTCTGGCATCAGAATCCTCTGTTCCTCAGGACATCTCTTGCCTACTCCCCCAAACAAGACTTATTCCGGCTCACTCTCCCATAACCTCCATAGTAAAGGTTTCCACATATGCCAGTGCTCACAGGCTGTGTGACTGTGGACAAGTTGCTGCTCCTCTCTGAGCTGTACCCTCCTGCTCTGACATTTCACAGCGTAATGAGGTGAGTTCCACCGAGCACACAATTTCTAGGGCCTGGTCATAGTTCTGGGCCTTTAAATGTCTGGGCTGCTCCGGTCTTAACCACCAGGCCTGTCTGTACCTGAGGAATGGGGGGAATGAGAGGAAATGCGATAGGAAGAAAAGTCACTCACTCACGGGAACACTGAACCATTACCTTTATTGAATGTTAACATTTCAAAAAAGAACGCAGAGGTGCTCATGGGCAGGTATCACCCAGTGTCACCCCTGCAGCAGCAGAAGGAGGTCGTGGGAGTGGTGGGTGCATAGAGAAGGTATGGTAGCTACCACTGGGGAAAGGGAAGATGGGTGTTCACAGGGGCGCCTGGGGGGCTCAGTCATTAAGGGTCTGCCTTCGGCTCGGGTCATGCTCCCGGGGTCCTGGGATCGAGCCCTGCATCGGGCTCCCTGCTCAGCGGGAAGCCTGCTTCTCCCTCTCCCACTCCCCCTGCTTGTGCTCCCTCTCTCGCTGTGTCTCTGTCAAATAAATAAATAAAATCTTTAAAAAAAAAAAAGATGGGTGTTCCTGGGTCAGGGCAGGCTTCCGTGAGAGGTGAGATCTGCTCTAGGGTTCTGAGGGATGAGTAGGAACCCGACAATGTTATGAGAAAGCACAGGCTTTAGTGACATCAGATCTGGGATACAAGCTAATGTGACTTTGAATGAATCACTTTGCCTAATTTCATTTCCTCAACTATAAAATGGGGACATTGAGCCTTCTTTCATGATTGCTGTGGCAATAAATATGTTAATGTTGGGCACCAGCCTACTGCCCAGGTATGTTATCAGTAGAAGTAACTTCTCGATCCTGGCCCTTCTTCCTATGAGGAGTCAATGAGGGAGTGGTTCCCAGGAAGAAGTGTTATTTTTAGAATTTGGGGAATGATGAGGACAGGTGATCAGGTCCATCCTCGACTACAGACAGAGTATTTCCTTCTCTATCAGTCAAATGAGTAAGAATCTCTCCAGCTCCCCACAGAAACTGGATTTGGCAGGGGGGGGTGGGATTTTTCCATCAATTCCAGGAAAGAAACTTCCCCTACCTTTAGCTCTGTCTGGCCTCTGATGTCAATTCTGTAGCCTTCGTCCAGGCTGAGCAGTGTCTGGACTGTGCTTCTGCTGACATGAATTCTGTATGCTGACAAGAAATGTAGCAATCAAGTCACCACCTGGTGGCAGCATACCTGGTGTTTAGTAATATCATTAAGACCTGTAACAGCCCCAGTGCCAGCCAGTAATGCACACAATTCTGATTCCTACAACACCCTTCACCTGACCTTCCTGTCCCTCTGGTAGACTTGGTCACTAAAATAGAGGCCTTGAGGAAAAGCAGATTCCATAGATTGAGTGTTCAGAGGAACTCAAGATGAAGTCAGAACACGTAGGAACATAATTTTCATTTATAGGGAAGTCTATGAAGGCTGAGTCAGAGCAGATAAGCTGTTATTTTTCTTTTAAGAGCAAGACTCCCCACTAGGGCCAGCACTTCTAGTCATGCAGGATATGTACCAAACAACATTAGGGAGCACACGACTTCTGTAGCCAGAAGCAGAGGTCCTAGGACTCCAACTTTTACACCTGCTCTAACCAAGCCATCAGAGTGGCCTCTGCTGCCAGCAAGGGCCTAAAATGGCATTAAAAACTTGAGAGGGGTCTCCTCGTCATAAAGATGTGGAAACCAAGGCCTAGAGGAAGAGTATTTTGCTCAAGGACACCAAGCAAGCCAGTGGCAGACAGGGCTAGGACCCAGGCCTCCTGCCTCTCAAGTCATTGTCTTCTCCCATGAGATCACCACAAAAGCCCCATGGAAAGTTAGAAGAACCAGTGACATACATTATCTCCATGTAGTTGTTTTACTGACAACTAAGGTACACTGCCACCAGGTGGTGGTTTGGTTACTAAGCACTGTTTCAAATAGCCAGCTTGCCGGGGTCATTGAGAGTCCTCACCCAGGCAAGATAGAAATATAAGACACTCACGCAGCCCTGTGGACTCCATCCGGGATGCAGTGTTAACAGTATCGCCGAAGAGGCAGTACCTGGGCATGGTGAGACCGACGACCCCTGCCACGCAGGGCCCTGAAACTCAGATGTGCCCAGTGAGTTCCAGGGGGTCCTGGACCCAAGAGAGGCTCCCATGGCAGTCTTGCCCTTCCCCATGCCGCCCCCACCCCTGCTGTCTCTACCCCACCTCCTGGGCTCCAGCTGGGGGTGAAGATGAAGCTATATGGAGTCTCCAACTGTACCCAGAGAAGAGATGATATCTGTGCCAGGCTCTGGGCCGGGGGTAGGGGGACACAGATAAATCAGAGCCAGTTTTTGCTCTTGGGGAGCTCCCAGCCTCATGGTGGGGGGGCATGTAAGCTGTGATCAATGTTGTCAGATGGAAGCATCAGAGCTGTGCCAGCCCAGAGATGGGGGTCTGACCCAGCCCAGAGGACTTTCTGGAGGAGGTGGTGCATGAGCTGTGTCTTGAAGGATGAAAGAATGAGTGGGCAGGGAATGGCAGGAGCCCAGAGGCAGAGAGCCCACCTGTCTGTGGGAAGCGGCAAGCAGCTGAGCGTGGTTGGAGTGGCAAGGGGGGAAGTGATGGGAGATGAGGTTGGATGGAATAGCAAGGGCCTGGGAGGCTGTGAGGGGGGCAGGAATTTGGATTTTATCCTACAGGGGAAACCATGGAGGGAGGAAGGGGTGGGGCCCTGAGAAGCATGTATTAGAGACCCCTCGGTCTCTCCTAGACCCATCCCAGCAACATTTCGTTGTTGGCATAACCACAGAAGGTCTCTGTCCTGCCTCTTCCATCAGACTATCAGCTCCCCGGCACAGCCTCAGATGATTCTGACAGAGGCTGAGACAAAACATGTGCGTGTATGTATATATATGAATGAAACTGAGCATCACAGATTCTTTGACTTACAACATCTCAGAACCTTCAAATAATAGAAGAAAAAGAGGAATGTCAAATTTTCTATCGTAGAGCTTTAGAATCTCAGAATGCCAGAAGCACACCATTGGGGTTGCCCCAGCCCAAGTCGGTCTGGCCCGTCGCCCCCACGGCCCCCAGTTTGTACCTGAGTGCAGGCCAGCGCGGATGTAAATGGGCACGTCGGGCGCATGCTTCATCTGGAAGCCCCTCAGAGAGCTGAGGATGTCCAGGGCCACGTCGGCCATCTCAGCCGCGTGCCGGCTGCCGTTGCGCCGGGGCAGCCCCGAGGCCACCATGTAGGCATCCCCGATGGTCTCCACCTAGAAGCCACAGCCTTCACACTCCGTGCAAGAGCACGCCCTCGCTGGACCGCCCCAGCGCCCGCACAAGGCCCTTCTGGGGAGCCCTGAGCCACCCCTCAAGTCTCTGGCCCACAGTGCCGTCCCTATCGGGCCTCCCGCCCCAGGCGCGCTAGCGACAGTTAGATCTGCACACTTCAGATCGCCTTGGTCTGAAGTGGAGCGGACCGTGCCTATCTGGTCTCTTCCCGCCCCAGGCCGTGAGCTGGCAGCAAGACCTGGGCACCCCGTCTGCACGACGCCACAGCGACAGATCAGGCCTTCATCTGGAGAGGAGCACATGCGTATTGGATACGCATATATACCCCCTGGGGGGGGGTGTTTGTAAGTAAGTACACCTAGTATGCCTTCCAAGGTGTACTAGACAAAATGTAGGTTTGGGAATCATATAAACGTGGGTTCAATCCCTGGCTCTGCCATTTACCTTGGGCAGACCACTTCACTTGTGCGAGCCTCAGTTTCCTCTTAGGTGGACTGCACATTAAAGATAAAGTATTGAAAGAACTAGGCTTTGGTTATCAGAAGGGAGGTGGCTGGAGGGGTGGGTGAAACAGGTGATGGGGGTTAAGGAGGGCACTTGTGATGAGCACCAGGTGTTGTACAGAAGTGTTGACTTACTAAATTCTACACCTGAAGCTAATATTACACTGTATGTTACCTAAAAAAAAGTTTTTTAAAAGACTTTATTTAGGGGTGCCTGGGTGGCTCAGTCATTAAGCGTCTGCCTTCAGCTCAGGCCATGGTCCCAGGGTCCTGGGATCGAGCCCCGCATCGGGCTCCCTGCTCCGCGGGAAGCCTGCTTCTCCCTCTCCCACTCCCCCTGCTTGTGTTCCCTCTCTCACTGTGTCTCTCTCTGTCAAATAAATAAATAAAATCTTTTTTAAAAAAAAAGACTTTATTTACTTATCTGAGAGAGAGCATGAGCAGGGGTGGGGCAGAGGGAGAAGCAGGCTTCCCGGTGAGCAGGGAGCCTCATGCGAGGCTCGATCCCAGGACCCCAGGATCATGACCTGAGCCAAAGGCAGACGCTTAATGACTGAGCTACCCAGGCACCCCCCAAAAATTTTTTTTAAAGGAACTAGGCTCATTATAGTCACTCAATGGATGGAGACTTCTGTCACCACCACCATCATCATCATCATCATTTCCTTGGCTGATGGTGTTGGAGATGAAAAAATCCCAGAATCTCAGAACTCAGAGGGACTTTAAAGGCCTCCCATCTGCCTCCTCAGTGGCTGGCCTGGCCTGCTTGCATCTGTTAATAGGAAAGTCCCCCCTTCTAGAGGTGGCTGCTTCTTCCTCTAGGTAACTCTGGTTTGGACCCAGATGTGTACTGTGGCTTTCTCTGCCACCGGCCAGGCCAGCCAAGGTGAAGAAGGTGACGCTACCTCACCGCCCCCCCAAGTCTTTCCCTCTCCAGGCTCAAGAGCCCAGTTCCTGCGCTGCATCTCCGGCAGCCAGCAAATACCTCCTGGACCTGGGGAGCAGAGCTGTCCTTCTGGCGCCGCACGTCTGCTCTCCCTCAGCACCCGGTGGGCAATAATAATTATAATAATAATACATCCCCTGCCCAAAGGGGGCATTGTAATTCAATAAATCTCTCCCACATTTGCTGTGGACTGTGCCCTACTCCCTATGTCCCCCAAACCTCTCCCCCACCCAGGCTATCTATCTCTACCCCAGCACCAGGCAGTGATCTGCCCTAATCATGCCACATTCTGTTTAGATAATTTGCTCCCAGTGGGCTGGCAGTCAGGAACTCCCATTACTTACAGAATTTCCTGACTAATTCCTAGCCGTTGCTCCTGGTGCCCCATGCTTCCGCCAACGGGAACCTTTCTGCCATCCGCAGAGACACTCAGTGCTTGCTTGATGGCCTGGCCCCTCTGCCTCAAATGCTCTCTCTTGGTCCCTGTCTGCTGAGATCCAAGCCCTCCATCAGCCCAGCTCCCACTTCATCGAGTCCGTAAAATCTTCCAGGTCACCAGATGCTTCCCTCCTCGGGGCTGTGAGCTCCCCCTCCTTCTCCATCACCTGCTCTTGTCCACCCAGCGCTGGTGGGCTGGCGGTGAATGTGGCAGGGGTCAGGGACATGGCTGGTCCCCTCTGTGTACATTTTCCACAGAGGAGAAAGACCTCCCACCCCCGTGCCCCAGGAGGGAAAAATAGGAGTGAGGCCCAGCTTTCCCTCTGCCCACCCACTTCTTCCCTACAGGAGGAAGAACCCGTGATCTGCCTGGCAAGGTTGGAAGGACTAAATGCTTAAGAACTTGGATAGCAGCTATTACATGCCAGACGCTGTTCCAAACCCTTCACAAATATCAACGCATTAGACCTTCACAAGAATCCTACCAACTCACAGGGGGATGGCGGGCCAGAGAATTAAGTCACTTGCCAACGTCACAGTGCAGATCTGAACTTGGTCAGTCCGGCGCCAGAGCCCGTATGCTGTGCTGCCTCTTGATACACAAGGCTTGGTTCCATTCCCTCTCTGTTTTGGGGAGCGATGCCTGCTGTGTGGGGTTTCCCTCTGCTACTGCCCTGCACGTGGTTAGCACGTGGTCAGCATGTGTGTGTCGGGCAGCCCCGCCTCCCGGAGGCAGCCCCGGAGACCTACAGCGCGCTGGCCCCGCTTCTAGCCGCCAAGCGTACAGTACGGGGACAGTACGTCTGCTCTGGGGACCCAGCGCTGCCTTAGTTGGGTGACCCAAGGTCCAGACTGGGGAGGAGGAGCATGGTGGTTTCTCTAAGCTGTTACCCTGACCTGTAGCCCTCGATCTGCCGGCCACCTGAGCTGGGAGAGTTTGGTGTCGTTAGTAATCACCCCTACAACTCCAGTGACAGAAAGGTGACCAGGCACAAGCCCCACTGTCTAGGAGCTTGGATCCATAATCATGAGCACTCAAAGACTCCTATGATCGTGGGCACTCAGCCACAAGCAAGGGTATACACAGGTAGACACAGGTGTGGTCCTTTTGCAGATGGGAGAACACAGCCAGAGGAGAAGTGAGGGCAAAGGCTTCCACACTAGCAAACACAGATGTGCATTCCAGCTCCACCACTGACTTGCTGTGTGACCCTGGGCTAGTTACTCACCTCTCTGAGCCTGTGTTGCGTCTGAAGGAATAACGGCCTCTGCGGGCCATTGCAAGGGTTCATGAAATCCCCTGTGATAGTCCCTCGGTTGGGCCAGTCCTCTGTAGAGGCTTACCTAGCGCTGGCCCCACCCCCGACCCCTGTCCCGTTCCATGCTTTCAGCGGGAGGCGTCAGCACCTCTCAGCATTGGCATCACGCTGGTGAATGAAGGGGCCATAGCATTTCCTCTCACATTGCTTGATTGGCGAAACCATGCTAAGCCATAGGCACTTTCCCCTGTTTTACAGATGGGAGCATGAGACTCAGAGAGGTCAAGTGATTTGCTCAGGGTCCTCTTGGCAGCATGGCCAAGGCCGGTCTCACCTGCAGGGGCTGAGTGGCTGGGGTAAGTGCTCTCCGCCCCTGTAGCCCACATGGGCTCAGCGCTGGAGCTGCGTCCATAAAGTGCTCATCCAGGGTGCGCTGGCAGGGGATCACAAACCCCAGCGGAACCAGGAAATGACCACCTGGCTGCCTCCCAACCCAGACCGGATTAAAGATCAGTAACCAGATCCTGCTGGGGATGGAGGGGAAACCGAGGCAGATGGCGTGAGTGATGAGAGACACACTTGCACATCGTCAGCAACAGGCTGCCTGTTTCCCCACATCTGGAGGGGTGTGCAGGCCTTATTTTATTTCATTTCATTCTGCCAGAAAGATGCAGACCTCTTGGCCAGGGTTCAGAGCAGATCAGAAAGCATGATTCAGAGCTGGGAGGGACACATGTGTGAGAAAAGATTAGCAGGAGAGGAAAAGACAAGGCCAGGGGTGACTCAGGGCACATCAAAGCCGCGGGGCTCAGCAAGACGAGATGAGAGATGAGGCATCTTTTCCTGGGGCCCACGGGGCTAGGGCGGCTCTGGAAGCAAGAGGGAAACTCAGCCAGCATGAGAGACAACACTCCGAGCCAGGGGCCGGGGCAGGAGTGCGGGTTCTTGAGCAGGGAGCGGGAGGGAAGCTGCATTCTTGGAATGTTGGTGGCTCGGGTCTCTGAGGCTCCGTGTGGGGCAGTGTGGGGTAGTGGACAGAGCCGGACAGTGGTGGTAGGCATTGCAGATTCCTGGCTCTACCACGTACCGGCTGTGTGACCTTGGGCAAGTCACTTTCCTCTCTCTGGGCTTCAGCGAGCTCCTCAGTCAGTATCTATTTCCAGAGGACCTACAATGCGCTGGACATTGCCAAGCACTGGGGACAGAGTGATTTGGGTTCGAACCATAAAGTGTGGCTGTGCTATCTGGGGGTAGTTATGAGAGCACCGCACAGGAGCTCCTGACCATGTCTGGGAGGGGAAGGAGGCTAACCTGAGACCAGAGGATGAGTAGGAGGGAGCCAGGTGAGGAGGAGGGAGAGCAGTGTCCCAGGAGGAGGCAATCACGTGTGCAGAGGCCTAGTGGCTCCGAGAGCAAAGCACGTGTGAGGGGTGCAGAGGTCTGCGTGGAGTGGCCAGTGATACCATTGGGGAGGTAGGTGGGGCCAGTTCCTGGAGGGTCTTGTAGGCCACTATGAACCTGTGGCTTTCTCCTGAGGATGTCCATGTCATGAGGATGGCGAGCCCCCCGAAGGAGGGGGGGGTCTTGGGATCAGAATGCCCCAGTTCAAATCTCAGCTCCACATCCCATCCCATTGGAAATACGTAATTAGATAAGCCCCTACTTACCCATTTCCTCTTCTATACATTAGGGGCACTACTACCTACCTCACAGATTGTTAGGATGGTTAAATGGAATAGTACATATAAAGCACTTAGACTAGTGTCCAGTATGCAGTAAGCACTCAATAAGTACTGGCAATTATTGTTGTTGGGATACTGTACATAGCGCTATCAGCAGACTGTCTCTGAAACTTCCTGCCCAGGCCTCCTGTCCGTCCTGGCTTCCACCCCAGGGCCCGGCCCTCCCCTGTCCCTGCTTCCCTGGAGGGCTGTGGCTGGAAGGGGACTGTGGGTCGCAAAAGAAGGCTAAGGCCAGTGGAGTCTGAGTATGGCGGTTTCTGGGGAGCTCCCTCCCCATCCCACCCCCACTGTGTCTGAAGCAACCCAAGACCTCCAGCAACTGGATGAGAATAAGGGACAGGATTGGGGTGGGGTCCCCACAGCAGGCAGGGAGGGATAGGACGCTTGTCACTTTTACAATCTCAGTTTACACAGCACTCCTACAAGAGGGATAGGATTCGCCCATCATCTGTGAACCCCCCAGGGCTAGGGTCATCATTCCTGTTTTATAGGTGAGGAAACGGAAGTCCGGAGAGAGGAAGCCATTTGCCTGAAGGTACACGGATGCTGGTGGCCAAGCTGGGACTCAAACCCAGGATGGAGATATGCACAGGGACTAGATCAGGGAAGGTCTTGACAGCTCTGCCCCTGCTCCTCTCTCCAGTGTCCCCCAACCACCACCCCCTCCACCACTGGCCCACTTCATGTCCAGCCATTTCAACACATTCAGTACTCCTCATCTCACTAGGCCCATCCTCTTAAGGCTCAAGCTTTGGCACATTATTCCCCCATGGCTTGCCTGGAGCAACCATACCCAGACTGGACAGCACTAGGAAGACAACACCTCCTCCAGGAAGACTTTCTTGCTTTTTACTCGACACATCTATCCCTAGCTGGATTGGGGGCCCGCTCAGCCTCCTCTGCCTGCCCTGATCATCACTTTGACTCTTTCATCTACAGCACTGAGAGCTCCCGGAGGGGAGGCACAGGAGATGACTCGTCTGTTGGCCCTTGCCCAGCACAGGTGGAGTTTATTTTCTCCCCCTCGAATCTGGGTTGGCCTTTTTTGTCAGGTAAACTCTATGCCCAATGTGGGGCTCAAACTCATGACCCTGAGATCAAGAATTATATGCTCTACCGACTGAGCCAGCCAGGTGCCCCTGGATTGGCTTTTTGACTTGCTCGACCAGTAGAATATGTCAGACATGGCCACATGCCCAATCCCAGCTCAGACCTCCTGAGGATTCTGTGTTTCTGCCTTCTCTCTCAGAACCCTGCCACACCATGGGAATGATACCAACCAGCCTGCTTGAGGTTGACAGACCATGTGGGCTAGAGCTGTCCCATTCAAGGTTCCAGAGATGTGAGAGAGCCCAGCCAAGATCAGCAGAACTTTATATCTCACCCACAACTGCCCACAGATATATGAGTGGTCCAGCTGAGTCCAGAGAACTTTCTAGCTGACCTATAGGTTTGTGAGCAATAACAAATGCTTATAATTTTACACTACTGGGTTTCGGTATTATTTGTTACACAGCAATAGCTAACTGATAAAAACACACAGATAAATGACCGGAAATGAATGTATGACACAAACACAGCAGTAAAGGAAGGAAGGATGCGATACCGGCCTCCTGGTCTCCTCACCTTGTACACATCGTGGCTTCCCAGAACAGCATCGAACAGTGTGTAGAGGTCGTTGAGCAAGCCTACCACCTCAGTGGGCTCACTCAGGGCTGAGATGATGGTGAAACCCACAATGTCACTGAAGTATATGGTGACCTGGTCAAAGTACTCTGGCTCCACAGCTGCCCCCATTTTCAGAGCTTCAGCCACAGACCTGAAGGAATGGGAAGGACCAGAGTCACAAAGTGGGAGGACCCCCTTCCCACAGTTTGGAGGTGAGGGAGGGATCTCGGGAGGAAATTCCTGGGTTGAGCATCAGGGGATCTGGGTCAGGTCTGCTTGTGTGCTGGCTGCCCTCCAGCAAATACCTGTCCCTCTCTGGACTTTACTTCCTCTGAAGTCAGATGGGGGACACTGCACCTTCTCCTTGCTCTCAAGGGAGCGAGGTAGCAGAATTAATACTTAAAACCCCAGCATAGTGCCTGGTACATATAAGGGCTCTGTGAAAATATGTTAGATAAATAAACAATGAATAAATTGAATGAATTCATGGAGCCCAGATTTACTGAGCACTTACTCTCTCCCAGGTCCTAGGCTCAGAGCCACTGAGACTAGAGGCACAATGAAGTCCTAAGGGGCCACTCACAGAGGGAGCATCTGAGAGAGCAGCCTCTCTGTCTTCTGCCTCTCCAGCTCCAGTTCCTCAGTCCGATCCTGGATCAGGTCCTCCAGGTTCTGGGAATACTTTTCCAGCATCCACAGCATAGAGTCAGCAACACTGGTCTTCTTGCCTTGATTGATGCTTTTGAACTGAAAATGGAACAAAAATCTCAATTCATCCATGAAGGTCAGCACACTCACTCTCAGGTTGGAAATCTCAGCCACAGGAACGAAGCAGACATAGTCCCTGCCCGGAGGAGCTCCACTGGTGGGGAGCAGATATGGAACAGACAAGGGATGGCGGCAACAAGAGAAAGCACAGACAGCTGGGAGGAAAAGTGAGCTAGTTCTCTATGAGCAGGTAGTCAGGGAGATGACTTTACAAAGGCGCCTATGCCCAGCATAGCATTACCACTGCTCTGGTTCTCACAACAACACTGTAGAAGAGACGTTCTTTGTTCTTCTTAAAGATGGATGGATGGATGGATGGATGGATGGATGGATGGATGGATGGGTAGATGGGTAGATATGATGGATGGAAGGATGGATGGGTGGATGAACAGATGGGTAGATAGAAAAGATGTATGTAGATTATTTATGTATATAATCGTTTCTACCTCTCCATTTCTCTCCTTGTTCAAAAAAACTTTTTTACAAAAGAAAATAATACATAGGTAAGGATACTGGGACCAAAGAAGAATAAATGCATGCTATTCTGGTCCAGCAAAATGCATGCTAGAAGTTGGTCACAATTTTGAATATGAGCTTCCTAGCAACAAAGCAAAGAAGGAAATAGAGATTACACAATCCACAGAGTCCATGAGACAGTGGAGCCTTAAGGTGGTTGTTCAAAAGAAACACAATTCCTGCTCTTTGCTGCACAGAGAAAAATAACTCACATAGGTCTTCATAAGAGGACATTCATGTGTGGTCATAAATCATACGTTCCATGAAAAACTTGCAGGAAATATGGCAGTGTGTTCCCTAAGGAGGTTTACTAGAACCTTCCCCAATCTGGTTTGCAGCTTTCCAAAGTGCAGTCCGTGGGAGACGCAAATTAATGATGGTCAAAGTGAAGGAGTCCACTCCTGTCTAAATCCAGCAGCTTAGCATTTGTATGCGTGTGTGTGCATGTGTGCGTGTGCGTGCGTGTGTGTGTGTGTGTGTAGGTGTGCATATCCAGCCTCCATCAATACCAAACATCTGTAAGGTGGGGAGTGGCAGCAGCCCCTAATGCCCACCTACTTTGTATTGCCCGTTAAAAGCAGAGGCGCAAGCTTTAAAGGTCAGTCGGGGTGGCACGGCAGCTGCTGACCTTGAGACACCAAGGACACAATGCTGACGGGCATCTCACCTCTGCAAGGAAGGCCCCCATTATACAATGAAAAAGCAAAGGATATGAGAGGTAAAATACTTGCCAAGGACCTCATAAAGGTGGAACTGACTTTCAAACTGAGATCTTTCCTCTGCTAATTTTATCAGCAGCCACCCCACTGAATTATTTTAAAATTTGGGATGTGTTTTCCATTGTTTCCCTCGGGTTGCCCAGGAACACAATTATAGGATTTGCAAATAGCAATCATTTTCTTCTTCCTTTCTAATATTCATCTTCTTGTTTAATTGCATTAGCTGGTACTCCCAGAACAATGTCAAGTGAACATGAACCCAAGCCCTTGGACTTCGAGGTCAGCGTTCTTTCTCTAATGCCTCGCTCACTCTCTCAGAGAACCATCGTGTTTTTAACTTCATTCTCTCACTTGATGGTCACTCCAGTATGGCAAGTGGGGCCAGAGTTCGTCTTTCTGGGCAACTTTTAGGGAGGTTGAAGCTCAACAGAGCAATCAACTTGCCCAAGGTCAAGGAGGTGAACTGAAGTATAGATGTGAAGGCAGGCATTCTGGCCCTTGGCCCCCACAGTGTGATGCAGTTCCCACCCTCATGCTGTCTCTCACGTGCCCGTGCCTGCCTTCTCCGCCCCAGAGCCTTGGGCAGGATCTTTCCTCACAGTCACCCGACACTGGCCACCGCAGTCTCTGATCCCTGGATAGATCCCAGGCTCGTGTTTGAAGAATTGGCTGCTGGTCCTAGCTCTGCAACCCGCCCTCACCGTGGCCACTGAGAGCTCATTTCCTCTGAGACCCAGATTTCTGTGGGATGGGGACACTGCCCCTGAGGCCAGAGCTGAGGTGGGGAGAGGGTGTGGGAAGTCAGGGGATGTGGGGAGGGTTCCCGGAGGACACCTGTGCATTTCTCCGGTCTGTCTTCCTGGATCTCGCTCCCTCATCACCTGTCTGGACGCCCCTCTCGCTCGCTGAGCCTCTCCTTGGCAACGTGCCACCGTGGCTGGGGAGTGGAGGGTAGGAGGGGAGGCACGAAGCTGTCACCTCAGGCTTGATGGGTTGGTCCCGTGGGAGCCATTAGCCAGCTCAGTCAGGCCCACACACTCCACCTCCGCCCTGCAAACTCGTACGGGCTTGCCTCACCCCTCCGGCTGCAGTTCCCAAGGCAGGCCGGGGGCGGGGATGCACCCGTGCCCCTCACAAATTCCACTCACGGACAAGGGGCACCAGGGCTGCCTCCACGGCCACAAAGGGCCTCTGCTGTGGTGCCGGGGGCCCCAGGGAGGGTCGCGGTTTCCAGCACCAGCTCTGCAGACAGACAAACCCGAGTTTGGATTCCAGCCTCACCTTGCGCTCCCTGAGTTACCTTGGGGGAGCCCCTCACCTCTCTGTGCCTCAGTTTCTCTCCTAGGAAGCCAAGATAATACGGGTACTTCTTTGGAGGGCTATTATAAGGATTAAATGAAGTGAGCATAACACTTAGCATGGGGCGTGGCACTTAGGAAGGCACTCAACAAACATCCCTGGAACCCAGGGTTCTGAGAAAGTTTTCCTCAGAGGCTGGACCTCAGGCCCAGCCCTCCAGAATGGTGGTGCTGGGGGCGCCTGGGTGGCTCAGTCTGTTAAGCGTCTGCCTTTAGCTCAGGTCATGGTCCCGGGGTCCTGGGATCGAGCCCCACATCGGGCTCCCTGCTCAGCAGGAGGCCTGCTTCTCCCTCTCCCGCTCCCCCTGCTTGTGTTCCCTCTCTCGCTGTGTCTCTCTCTGTCAAATAAATAAAATCTTAAAAAAAAAAAAAGAATGGCGGTGCTGACCTGCGCACCCTTACTACATAGGATTTCTTGGCCCCAGCGGTAATGTCTGGCTCCCACTGGGCAAAGTGAGGTGAACTGATGAGCCATTTCGTGTGAGCACTGGCCTGGGGAGCACTGACCTGGGTGTAGATCTGGTCTAGGCTGGGTCTGTCCTCCGGAGCCTCCTCCCAGCATTGCTCCATCAGCTGGATACACTCTGGTGGCCCATGGTCAGCAGACACCAGGGGCCGGCACAAGGGAGGGGGTGATACCACCTTCCTGATGATTTCTGCAATAAACACATGCCATGTGCATAATGGGCTCGTGGTCCCCAGCAAGGCTCATGGGAAGGGGTTGGCCTCGGGTCCTGAGAGAGAAGGCAGGGGAGGCCTTTGGGGGTGCAGGGATCGGGCCCTGAGGGTATTCCTTGGATCCCCTGCTCTGTACCCCAAGGCATGCTGGCCAGTGGACCCAGGATTGCCCAGGATGTGACCAGAGAAAGGGTCTCACGCTAGGAGCTGGAAGAGCAGGTTTTGAATTCTGGATCTGCTACGACGTCTCCAGGAGATGGTAGACAAGACAGAGATCTCTCTAAGCCTCAGTCTTCCCATCTGTGAAATGAGCTTAATAAACTGCCTTCTTAAGAGGGGTGCAGAGGAAAGAGAGAACCTAGCAGGCTCTCCCCCACCCCCAAGGCCAGCTGCTGCTGCTGGCCAGCAATGCTCACCGATGTGCTTGAGACCTTGACGCTGTGGCTCTTTCCACCAGCCCTGTCACCTGGAGACTTTCTGGTGCCAGTTCCCGGGGTAAAAAACAAGACTGTCTGCTTTCATTATCATCATCATTATTATTTTCCCAAGACAGCTCCTGCCATGATCTTCCCATCCCCACTCCCTGTAATAAAGACCACCAGACTAAGTCGAGGTCCAACAGATCAGTGTTCTAGCTCTGGCTCTGCCACTTGCCATCACTCTGTGCCTCAGTTTCCCCATCTAACAACTGCTCAAAAAAGCTCCACCTCGGGAAGCTACTGGGGACACTGGGGGAGCTGAGAGATTCACAAGGGCACTGGGAGGAAGTGGGGCTGAGATCAGGAGGGGACTTCTAGATCCCCCACTGACGTTCTAAGTTATGTCACTTCTCTGAGCCTCAGTTTACTCATGTATAAAAAGGGCATAAAATAGTACAGACTTCCTAGGGCTGAGGGGTACAGCTGGTTACTCCCTGAGGAGGACTAGGACCCTCCTCTTTTGGCCGAGGAGGCGGGGGCCCTTAATGGCACTGAGAAGAAGCTTCGTTCTGGATTGCAATCCCCTCCCCGCTCCTTGTTGGCCCCCTGGTTGGGGACAGGCCATGAGTCTCATTTTACAGATAGGGAAACTGAGGGTCCTGGGAGTGAAGTAGCTCACGCACAGCTACAGGGCTGGTAAGAAGAAAACTCTAGATCTGAGCCTGATCTCCTCCTGCATGATTTTCTTTGCCCAGAGGCCTCCAGCCTGCAGGCATCAGACCCTGAGGGCCTCTGGGTAAAGGGTCTGGAAAGCTGTATGCAGATGGAATCAATAATACATCACACACGCATGTACAACTCTTTTTCAAAAAGTATTCGGATGGTGTTGGGATGAATAAAATACAAATCCATTTCAAAGTGTTGCTGATTTCAGAGCAGATTCTGTCTTTGGGTATTGTCTCGGTGAGCGGATATTAAAAATCAAATAGTAGCATGTGACATTAAAGTGGAGTCCTCGTACGTGAACATGCTGAAAGCCACCAGCCCAGGCCAGGCCGGGTCTCGCATTCCCTCACCACGCCAGGCGCGCTGCCCACACCCAGTCCGCACCGCATCACCGTGACTGAGGGGCCATGTCCGTGGCTGCGGGAGGGGGCTGCCCATCCAGCTTTGTGGGAATGTGCTCCACGGATGGATGGCTCCAGGAGACTTGAGGGCAAGAGCACGGACCCACTGCTTCCCGCTGAGAAGTCCCTTCCCTTCTCTGAGCCTCAATCAATTATCCCAAAAGAATGCCCTTACCCCCTCACAAGGTTGTCCAGTGGAATAAGGCAGTTATTATTCTGGAAGCTGCAGGTGCCCCCCTACACACACAGACACACACACACACACACAAGATCTTGAAAAGATATTATTTCTGAGAGCGAGGAGGGTCTGCTTCCACGTTGGGAAGTCAGGAGAGAATGTGGGGTCCCCCATCAGCACATCCCTAAAACCACTCAGGCAAATTATTTATAGAGTGCCCACCAGGGGCCAGGCACTTCGTGTAAAGAATTTCACTGAATCCTCACAACCACTCTGGGAGGCAAGTATGTTCTTCTAGCTGTCCCCCTGCTGCCTGTGTCCAGGCCAGACCATGTTTGGTCCCCATTTTACAGATGAGGAAACTGAGGCTCAGACCCTGAAAGGGATTTCAGACTTAGGTCAGTGTCCCCCAGTACCTGTGCTCTTTGCGTTTCCTCCCTGAGACCAGGGAGGGCACCCCCCGCCCAAGAAGGAGCAGGCCCTGGACTGACAGCCCAATCCAATGGTGACCATCCAAGGATTCCAGGCCTGGTCCCTTCCCCTAAAACCTCATGAAGTCCAGGCCCAAGGGGCCGTGCCCTGGCAGCCTGGCTTGCACACTCCATCTGGCCGGTCTCCCCTCTCCTGGCGGGCAAATGTGGGGGGCCAGGCCGCTGAGGAGTGTTAAACAAATGGCCTGACAAAGGCCCCTCTCCTTCCCACTCCTCCACCTCATAAATCTGGGGCCTGGAATGCTCATTACTCACTGAGCAGTGCTTTGGTGGAGAAAGGAAGTGAGCCAGGCCTCCCTTGAATGAGATTATCCACTGGGGGTGGGAGGGGATGGAGGGCTCAGCTTCGTCGCTGCCCTGCACTATGGCTGAGATGCCAGGCTGTCTGTGGGGACAGGTCCCCGGGACTGGACACAGGCAGCAGGGGGACAGCTAGAAGAACAACACAGAGCGGGAGGAAATGTTTCTGAAGTTGGGCCCTGGCACCGGGGTCAGAGAAGAAAATGTCTAAGACCAGGTGATGATGAGGAAGGTATGAGTGAGGATCCTGCACACCTTGAAGGAGATGAGATGCTTTTGAAGGAGCCCCACCTGGACAGAGAAGCAAGCCCCCAGATACTGAGCAGCTTAGCCACATCCGACATGGGCCAGATGTCTGGCCCATTTTTTATTTCATCCCCATTTGAAAGATGAGAAAACTGAGGCTCAGAGAGGGGGAAGTGATTTGTGTAAAGTCGTGTAGTAAGTTAGTGACACAGCTGGGGAAAACTGAGGTCTGCATGAGCACAGAGTCGACACTAAGCAAGGGGGCTGTTTAGGGCATGAGCGCCCACAGACACCGCAATGACCCTGGAAGAGGCAGAAGGGGGTGGAGGTTTTCTCCCAGAAACCAATGTCTTTAGCCCCAGAGCTGGTCAGCTGACATTTTGGCAGAGCTGCTGAAGGCTGCCTGGCTTAAGCCAAAGAAACTCAATTCTCACAGTCAAACCAGGCCAAGTGTGTCTGTGTGGTTATTCCCAGGCCTGGATTTCCTGATGGCCACAGGGCTCCCCAACTACATGGGGACTCCAGCCAGGGGAAGCCCGAGGAAGGAGGACAGGGGTGCTGTACCTTCTGCGGAGAGCCCCGAGGAGCTGTAGGGTGGGCCTCGCGTCAGCACCTCCTGCAGGACAATGCCGATGCTGAAGATGTCTGCTTTGAGGGTCCCCCGCCCAGGCGCCCCCGGCATGCGCAGCAGCTCCGGAGCCGTCCATAGCAGCTCTGCAGTCACAGGGCAGGGCCACACCGTCCTCACCCACTGACCCCCAAGCTGGGCCGAGATGGGCGGACGCTTCACACGTGTGGTGTCCTTGCCCAGGAGGATGTAGGTGCTTCTGTTCTCCCCCGTTCACAGGCAAGGGGCTGGAGGCAGCTCAAGGTCACACCACGGGAGGTGCTGAAGGATTGGACATCTCCCCCCTCCCCCTGCCTCATAAGCATCCAATTGAAACAGAGGCCTCAGAACCTACTGGAGGCCCCTGCCTACCCCTGAGCTGACCTTCTGGAGCTGGCCGGGGGCGAGGAGCCCGCTGAACATTCAGGAGCTCTGCATAACCGTGGTCAGTGACCTTGAGAACAAAGCATCCATCCACCACACAGTTTCGGGACTTGAGGCGGCCATGAGGGAAATGCTGATGGTGCAGATACCGCATGCCCTGGAGTGGACATAATGGTGGTCCATAAGGCCTGTGATGAATGAAAGGGGCCCCTGGTCCTCTCAGAATCCCACAGACCCTAAAAACCCTTCCTGCCTTCTCTCACCTTTTCCCACACTGTTCAAGTTTTTCTTAGACAAAGTGGAAAGAGACCAGGTCTTGGAAATCTGAGCATCTCTTGTCTCCCTGCCCTCCCCATGGCCCCCGTAGCTTCAGACCTGGGGAGGGTTCTCACACGGATCAAATCCAGCAGCAGAGAGGCCTTGAAGGTCCAGTCCAGCCACAGAGCCTCATTCCGCAGCAGGTCCTCCAGGCTGCCCCGGGCACAGTGCTCCAGCACCAAAGCACTGACCCCAGGGGCTACAAAGACGCCCAGGCAGGCAGCAACATTCTCATGCCTCAGCTCCCGCATCTGTTGGGGCAATGGGCACAGTAGCAGCCCCCAGGGGCTTGTCGAAGGCTGGACCAGGTACAACCCACATCTGGGCCTCCAGTATTTAGCACCCAGCACAGGGCAGAGCACAGAGAGACACCAGAAATATTGGATGGATGGATAGATAAGATGGATATGTGGATGGATGGATGGATGCATGCATGGATGGGTGAATAGATAAATGGATGGATGGATGGATGGATGGATGGATGGATGGATGGATGGATGGATGACGGATAGATGGATGGATGATGGATGGATAGATGATGGATGATGGATGGATAGATGGATGCATGTATGGATGGATGGGTGAAAAAATGGATGGTTAGATGGATGGATAGATGGATGATGGATGAATGGATGCATGGATGCATGGATACATGGATGGATGGATAGAAAATGGATGGTTGAATGGTTGGATGGATGGATAGATGGACAGATGATGGACCGATGAATAAGTAGGTGAAAAACTGAGTGGAAATGTCGTGGGTAAATAAGTAAGTTGTAGCCAACTCCATGGTATAGGCATCTAAGCCTGTTTCCCCAACCTAAGTGGCACCATGTACCTGTAAACTGTACATTCTCTCCCCCCAAGACTCAAGGACTGATGAGGAGAGGCAGAAGACCAGAAGGGATCAGCCTCAAGAAGAAAACAGCCTCCCTGATGGCTGCCCAGCAGGTCAGAGAGCTCCAACCCAACCAGCAATGCTAACATTTGTCCAAGCAAGAGAGATGGGTTTGGTGTGGACCTCCTCACAAAAACAGTTCAAGGGTCAACTAAGTGGGGGAGACCTGAATGTAAGTCACAATCATACTAATATATCTGGTGAGTTGAGAATGGCCTCCATCCTTTGACCCTCCTGATATCAAGAGGCGGGACATCTGTCCTTTCCCTTTGAGCGAGTTCTGTGATGGCTGTGACCAACAGAACATGGTAGAAGTGGTCTTGTGCATTTTGGGTCTGGGTCTTAGGACACTGGCAGCTTCTCTTTTCTGTCTCTTAGAGCCCTCTCTGTTGGGGCCTTGAATGGCTCTAAGAAGTCCCTCTACGCAGAGTCATCATGCTGGAGAGACCACGTGGAGAGGCCCTTAGACTACACAGAGTGGAAAGTCAGGTCTGGCTAAGCCCACTCTTCCAAATGCCCTGCCACGCGTGTAAGTGACCAAGTGTGTAAGTAAAGCCATTGTAGGCCCTCTAGACCTGAGGTCAGCAGACTCTCTGCAAAAGTACAGTTCATAAATATTTTATGCTTTGCAGGCCATACGGTCTCTGTCACAAATACCTCGGCCATCTGAGGGCAAAAGCTGACAGAGACAGTATGTAAAGGAATGCGCATGAGTTCCAGTAAAGCTTTTTCTATAAAAACAGGCCTGTGGGCCATAGTTTGCCAACCTCTGACAGCCCATTTAAAGCCTAATACCATTGAGTGGCTCCCAACCAATGCCAAATAGAACCAAGGACTTGCTCAGCTGAGCCCTGCCCAAATTTCCTACCCACGCAAGCATATCATAAAAATGATTGTTGTTTGAAAGCACTACATTTCGTTACGCGGTCACAGATAACCAGAACATAGTGAAGGTTCTGAAAAGCCCGATGGCTAACTCAAGCAATTTCCAAACTTATTTGACCACATCTAGGACTCTTCCTTTTAAGAAACATCTATTCACTCTGGTTGCAAGATGCCCACCAGGACATGCCTACCCTCGCCTCCAGTCACTTAATCTTTCCAAACTGGATTTCAGGTGGTGGTCATGTGGGAAATAATTATAATAAAATTCACCATTTATCAAAGGCACACTTGCTGAGCAGGGACAGTTCTAGGTTATTTCATATGTCCTCTCCAATCCTCATCCTTCCCCAGGAGTGGACTTCATTAGTTCCATTTTACAGGAAAGCTAAGCGTTTCATGGAGGCAGAACTCTCCTTAGGACCCTCCTGACTCAAATCCTGTGCTCTGTCCTCCAGCCCACAGTGCCTCTCAGGATGGTGGCAACCTCAGGAGTGAAGGGGCTCATGTGGTTAGTGATGAACAAGTGACTGGAAGCTCCCTGAAGGAAGGAGCCCTGTCCCTCTTCTCCACAGCTGTACCCCCAAACCCAAACATGGCCTGGCACATAGGTGGTACTCAGTACACAGTGAATAAATGGGTGGACGGGTGGAGGGTTGGAGGGCAGGGGATGGGGTCCTTCGAGGGTGTTGATGATACTGATGGAAGGGACTGTGTCCCTGGTGGTCGTGGTGTTGGCCATGTTGGGGTGGTGACGTGACTTCAGGGATGCTGGCGTGTGAAGATGGCAGTGATGGTGTATAATAGTGGTTGGGGGGTTGGCCATAGGGCAAGACTGTGACTATAGGAAGGACTCCTTCCGGAGGCTAGAAGCTTCTATGTTGAGTGGGGCCCACTCCATACCACTAGGGGTCTCCTGGCAGCACCCGCTCCACAGCCCGCCCCCCACCCCCTCTGCAGCCCTACCTTTCTCAGGAGGCTGAGACAGCTGGGCCGCAGCTCAGGGGCCACTCTCCCTGTTAAGGAAGAACAAGAGTTTACCGTCTCTGGTCCCCAGCTGGGTGGCCTTGGGTAAATCCCTCGGTGTTTTTGGGCCTCAGCTTCTTCCCCATAAATGTATCCTTTCTGTACGCTCCGAGCCAGGCAGAGCCTAGCCAGCGGAAACCAAAGTTAGACTTTCCCTTTGGTGGGGCGAAGCCAGGGGCCCGGCTTTGGCTGACAGACCTGCGTTCAGTCCTAACTCCGCCACTGTCTAGCTCTGTGACCTTGCGTAAGTGACTTTGGTCCTCTGAGCCTCGTGTTCCAGCTCCAGAAAGTGAAGATGAGACCCCCACCCACAACGCAAGGCTAACAACTGGTGCATATAAAGCATGTGAGCTCCCAGTCTCAAGGTCAGCTTTACTCTGCAGGCCTCAGGCACCCATGACACCCCAAAGCCTGGGAAGTGACTGGGGCTGGGGAGGGCGGTCTGTGACCCAGGACCTGTAGGAGAGGGGAGGGTGGGTGAGAAGGAATCTTTGGGATGTGGCTCTGTCCTCGCCCCGGCCTGGCCCAGAGCTAGCTGCATTCTCAGCCCTTTGCCCCCTGTCACTGATGGGTTTCTGGCTCCTCAGCCGCACCCACGGCCCGTCAGCTAACTCAGAGAAGCAGACAAAACACGCTGTGTACATCATTAAAGCCTCCTTTCAGCATAAAAGAAAAAAGATGGGATTCCCCTGGAGAGAAGGTGGAAAAGAAGGAGCATGAGCCTCATGTCGCTTCCTGTACAGTTAGCCCGGCTCGTCAACCGTGAGTCACAGAGCATGAGAATGGAAGCATCAGTGAATTGTCGAATTTGCGAACACAGCACCTGAGAAACCACAGCAACTTTAGAATCCTGCTGGTCTAATCTCTGACTTTGCAGCCTTCCTATCAGCTGGTGGCGAGGCTCTGCCCAGAGGTTGTCTCGGGCTGGGTGCCGGCCCACACCTCTGAGCCTCAGGGACCTGGGATCTCACTGTCCCTTGCCGAAACAGGTGGGACAGTGACCTAGGCTAGAAGCCCTGGGGTGGTCCCATGCTGGGAGTGCTCAGGCCCAAGTGGCCAGGAACCGGTTGTTTCTTAAGGTCCGATCACGAACCATGCTGAACTGGGAGCTGGGAGTCCTGCTTCCCACTCTTACCATGCCACTGATTTGCTGTGGGACCCAGGAAAGTCACCGGTCCTCTTCAAGCCTCGTTTCCCATCCCGTAACAGGAGTAGGGCATACCGACGACCAAGAGGCCATGGGCTCCCTCGGCTTCTCCCAAACTGACTGCAGCTCCTCAGGCCTGGACATGGGGTGGCAGAGGCCCTCACCTGGTACAGGGCCACATTGGTGGGCTCCTGGGGGGCCGGCAGGCTCCTGGCTGACCCCTGGGCCACCGACCTCAGGCTCCCGCCATCCACCGGACTCCTTGATTCGCTCACGCTGTCCATGTGCAGCCTCTGGGGGGAGCAGTCGTGGTCAAGAGCCTGGCCAGGCTTCAATCAGTGGCTTGCCCAGCCAACCCGGTGCCTGCCCCACCTACCCGTCTGCTTGGGGGCTGATGGATGAAGGTGAGCTCCTGGGCTGTCAGCAGGATCCGGTGGGGGCCCCGCACCAGCCACAGCTGTTGGATGCCCAATCTGGAGGCAGGAGAAAGTGCAGGGCAGAGGGATGGCACACATGTCACTCCCACCTTGATCTGGTCCCTTGGACCTGCGCTGACCCCAGAGCCCTCTTCCTGTCTCCCCAGCAGTACCAGCTGGGCTGGGAGGGCACCGCTGAGCACTTCCTCCTACAGAGACCCTCGGCCCCAGCTCAGGGCTTGCCATCTGGCCTGATATGCCTGCTGGTCCCTAGCCTGCGAGTTCCCAAATTACCTGGAGGCTTTCTGAGGTGATCAGAGCCTGGGGTGAGGGCTGGGCGTGGAGGGCTACCCCTCCCAGGTATGGCTGAGGCTCAGGGAACACAGAGGACTTCAGACCCAGGAAGAATTGTTTTCAATGCTGAAGGGCCCAGGGAGTCATCCTGGTCCATGTTCATAACCTAAAGCTCAGCAAGGGACAGACCTGTGTAAGGTCCCAGGCTTCTTCCCCAACTTTCAAATGGACCTTTTCGGGAGGCACCCCAGCCTCGACAGGGCCCTGACCGAGGCTCTAGGACGGACAGGAGTGCTGGGCAGTCCTTGAGGTGCTGGGATGGGGAATAGGAAAATCTCCTGCAGGTGGCCAGGTGTGCCTACGGAAGAGAGGCCCTGCAGGGTGGGGGGCACCGAGGGGCAGAATTAAGCTCCAGTGCAGACAGAGTCTCACCTGATGAGGCAAGTGAGGGCCCCGCCGGCCAGCACCAGGAGACAGGCCAGGGCAAAAGCGAGGAGGCTGCCCGGGGGCTGTGCATCTGTGGCTGGAGCAGGGCGGATGTGAGTCTTAACAGTAACAACAGCACAAGGCGGGCAGCCCCCTTCCCCCAGCTCCTGCACCTCGTCCTTGGCCTTCCTCTGGGAAATGGGAACAGAAGCCCCTACCCAGACCCTCCCCAGGGATGAGGCTCAGAACGGCCTCCAAGTGGGAAAGTCCTATCTGTGGACTGGTCATCACACACAGATACTGATTCCTAGCGTTTCTGTCTGGGTTCTTGGGCTCCCTGTCCCCAGGTCCCCATGGACCCTGCTCAGGTCCCATTATAGTCCTGATCATACTATGGTCTTCTGTCTCCTGGCATAGCAGGTCCCTTCCCACTAGACAGAGTAGCTTGATAGCAGGGCCTGTGTCTTATTCATCTCACTGTGCCTGGCACCCAACATAGGGCCTGGATGTGGCAGGTGCTGAATAAAAATTTTGTATCCCTCTCAATTGCTGTCCTACTTTTTACATCCTCCTTAGGATGGGCCACTTACTGTTTTGGCAGCCAGTCTCATTGTCCTTCACTCTGTTAGGAGAGCCCTCCTTACACTGATTCCAAATCTCCAGCCCTCATGTCAGAAGTTGGCTATAAAGAGGCTGCTAAGGATCACTGGGCAAGGTTGGGAGGGCTACTTGGTTTGGGCAACACCAGCATCCGCTTAAGGTGGGCAAGAAGGCTAAATGCCCAGCCCTGTTCTGGAGAAAGGACATTGACCTCAGCTGCCACAGGAAGGGGGCCATCCCTTCCTCCTTCCTTGCCTCCTCCTGTCCTCTTGTTGGAGGACCAGCACTGCTGTCTGCCCTCTGCTGAGGCCCCCAGTCTGAGTTAAGTCCATCATAATAATAGCAGCAAATACCTTGCAATCCTCTTATACTATCGTACTGCATGAAGCACCTATTCTGAGGCTATTATGTATTTCAATTCGGTTACTCTGCACAATGATCTCTGGAAGTAGCTATGGTCATGATCACAATTTGGCAGAAGAGGAAAGAGAGAAGTAACAGTCTGGGTGCCAGAGACTGGGTTCAAACCCAAGCAGTTTTGCTCTGGCCTCTGGGCTCCTCACCACCGCACCATCCTAACACTCTCCCAGGCTCCAAGGGGCTAAGCTCTGAGGCTTAATCTGGAGGCGACGAGGGAGCAAGCATACAGCCCGCGCAGAAAAGCATTCCGGACCTAGAGGGCAGCGAGTGTCAAGGTTCTGAAGCAGGATCGGCCAGGTGTGATCGAGGGAGGGCAGGGCAGAGCGGGAGGAAGACGGGCCAGGATGCTGAGGGGCCAGGGTGCTGTGAAGTCTGAGGCCAGGACTCTGGTGTGACTCTAGGTGAGGCCACAGCTCTGCAGGTTCTGCTGGGGGCGTGCCCGATCTGATCACGGTTCCAAAGTATCCTCCAACCTGTCAGGTTGTGCAAGGACAAGGGGGAAGCAGGGTAGCAATCCAGTGAGAGATGATGAGGGCCTGGCTCGGGGAGGGTGCAGTGAGTAATGGGAACAGCTCTGCTTCTGCGCAAATTCTAAAAATGGAGCCCTCATGGCGTGCTGACCGACCAGATGTGGGGTGTAAGGAGACAGAGGGTTCCTGCACCTCTGGGAGGTTGGGGGGCCGTTACCTGCAATGGGGAAAATGATGGGAAGCAGGCTGAGGGGCAAACCAGGAGTTCAGGGTCAGACAACATCAAGTCTGAGATGCCCACCAGACCTGCAGGTAGCATCTTACTGGACATGTCCAGTAAGAGGTGGGGCAGATGCAGAGTGTGGGAGCCAACAGGCTGGAGACGTCAATCTGGGGGCCACAAGAATGAATGAGATGCCAAGGGAGTGAGTGCAGAGAGAACACAGAAAGGCTCAAAGCGCCGAGGCCACAGGAGTTGGTGGTAACAGGTCAGCACTGCAGGAGAACAGAAAGGTGCCGGAGAAGGAGCAGGGGAGGCTGGAGAGCGACGGGGCGGCAGGGAGGAGGGAGTGGAGCTGACCGCTCCCTGGCCGAGCAAGGCACAGACTGACTGCTAGCGCTGGGCCTCAGCCCCATGGAGGCCACAGGGGCCTCGATATGGCTGCTCCTGTTACGAGAGTTGTGGGTCCGTGGAGAGGGTGCAAGAGAAGAGGGGAAGTGACATTTAATCCCCTTAGCATGGACACCATTTCAAGGAATCTTGCTCCCAAAGGGAGTCAAGGAATGCGGCAGAGGCTGAAAGGAGAGGTGAATGAATGAATCTCTAAGGTTAACATTTCAAGACAGAGATAATCAGAGAAAACAAAGAACGTGGCACATCCTCTTGCCAGCAAGACCCCTGAGGCTCAGGCGGCAGGGAAGCCAGCCGTGGACAGGACAAGTCCAGCCAGTCCTGGGGTTCCTAAGTGCCCCCTGGGGGAGTGGTTTTCACTGAGAACCTGTGACCACACAGCCCCTTCCCATCTCCTCAAAGTACAAGCTCTGCTCCTGGGCTCTGCCTTGCCCCTCGTACAAGGACAAGCCGTTGAGGGTGCTAGGTCTTTGTTCCTATTTATACATGAGAGACGGAGACCCAGAGAGGGTATGCAACTTGCCCAAGGTCACACAGCTAGTCGGCAGCAGCATTGGGCACATTTGTCCCAAAGCCCCTGCTGTCTGGTCTCTCAATCCATAATGTCTGATCAGTTATACTGGAGATAATCATGACTATCCTGGGCTAGAGTGTGAGTTGCCATTTTCGGATCCCTGAGAGAAGACACATCTTGTGGCCAGGACTGCTACTCAAGCTCCCACCACCTCTTGGTGTCCCGTCTCAGAGCCCTGTCCCAGAGCACCTGCCCTACCCTGTCCCCCGTTAGCTGGTGAGCTTCATCATGGGTGCTAGCTGTGAGCAGGAGTCTTATCTGCCATTGCATCCTCAATTCTCAGCTCGAGCTTAGGACACAGCGGATGCTCAATAAATGTTTGCTGACTGATGTGTTGAGTGAATGAATTGAAACCTGCTAGACAGTGAAGTCTGTGAGCCAGGGCTGATGGAGGAGGATCTCCTGTGGGCTCCGTCAGCCCCTGGCTTCCCCATTCATCGCTCTGATCGCACTGTGTTGTATTGTTTTCAGCTGTCCCTGTCTCTGCCACCAGACAGAGGCCCCTGGAAAGCAGGCCCTGGGGCTGGTCTTCAAGTACATCAGCTCTATGAGGGCAGGGACATCATTTCATTCACTCCTATATCCCTGGGGCTGTGCACAGTGCCTGGCATGTGGGAGGTCCTCCAGCAGCATTTGTGGAAGACGAGGGGCAAAGAAACAATTGAGGGAAGGTAGCTTCCTGAGCTACCTGCTAGTCTAGGGGACAGGTGACACTGGTCCTCCCCAGCGTGGGACACACACCCTATGAACATAAAGCAATTCACCCAGGTGCTGTGGGGAGCACAGAAGAGGGGTTCCAGGCCTGACAGGCAAGGTGGGGGGCACTCCAGGAAGAGGAAAATGCATTAGATGGATGGACAGCTAGATGGATGGATGGATGGATGGATGGATGGATGGATGGATGGATGATGAATTACCTTTTATGCACAGCATATTGGGGTCAAACCAGCAGCTGGAGTCACGTGCCGGAGGGGCCCCTCCTGGAAAGTGTATGGCCCTGTCCAGGGGCTGCACTCGCCACGTGCCTGTGTCCAGAATGTGGGTGGGGACCAGCTGGCTTCCCTGACCATCTGTGTCCAAAATCACATACTGAGCCAGCCTCCTGCCCTTCTCATCCGTCCGGATCCTCTGGCTAAAGCCAGCCACGTTCAGAGCCCCTGTATGGTCCCCCAAGTGGGCCCCTGAGAGCCCAGCACCATGGCTTTGAGAGCGGTTCAGGGCATGGGCCAGCAGGACAACAGCATCATAGATGGTCCCAAAGAGCGGGGACACCTGTGGAAGAGAAGGTCCCTCAACCCCTTAACCCCATGGCACTGACTCCCAGACATCTCTGAGCCCTGCCAGCCGCAATCATGTGGATTATCACCCCCACCCTGCCCTCAACGCAGCCCTCTCTGTGGTCCCACCGTGACCTCAGTCCCCACTCAGTGGTGTCACAGTCTCCGTGGCCACCCCCAACTCCGATGCCTCACAGGCACCTCAAACCTGCCTGATATGTCTGAAACTGAACTCCTGTTCTTCAAGGTTTCTGTCTAGTTCTGTTGCCCAAACCCCACTCCTCCCGCACTTTGGGAAATGGAACTACCACCTGGTGTCTCAAGTCCAGGTTTGATTCCCAACTCCTCTCTTTCTCTCTTCCCATTCGTCATTGAATCTTTTTGGTTTTATTTCAGAACTTATTCACAACCCAATTGACTCCTCACCCCCTCTGCTCCTGCCACCTGGGTCCAGGCCCCCTCACTGCTTACCTGGCCCACACAGGAGCCTCCTAAAGCCTCCTTGCTTCATCGGGTCTCTTCAGGCCACTCAGGCAACCAAAGCGATTTTATTTATTTGACAGAGAGAGACCCAGCAAGAGAGGGAACACAAGCAGGGGGAGTGAGAGAGGGAGAAGCAGGCTTTCCGCGGAGCAGGGAGCCCGATGTGGGGCTCAATCCCAGGACCCTGAGATCATGACCCGAGCCAAAGGCAGACGCTTAACGACTGAGCCACCCAGGTGCCCCAAAGCGATTTTTTAAAAAAAAACATAAATCAAGGGGTGCCTGAGTAGTGCAGGCGTTAGGTGGCCAACTCTTGGTTTCAGCTCCGGTCATGATCTCAGGGTCATGGGATCGAGCCCAGGGTTGGGCTGTGCGCTCAGCACGGAGTCTGCTTCAGATCCTCTCTCCCTCTCCCTCTGCCCCTCCACTCATTCTCTCTCTCTCTGTGTCTCTAAAATAAATCTTTTAAAAAAATGACTCAAATTATTCCTTACTTAAAACCTGCTGATCATTTCCCATTTCACATATAAGTTGAAACTCCTTACCCTGGCATAAAATGCCTCACATGGCCTGGCCCAAAGCTCATCTCAGACCCTTGTTGCCACGTTTCATGACAGTCCAGCCTCTCTACGCCCTCTGCCTGTTCCTCTAGCCTCCAAAGCTCACTGTGCCTCCAGGCCTTACACCTAACGCTGCCCCTGCCTGGTCGCTCCTCACCCAGATCTGCACCCTGGCTGCCTCCTTCCCATTCAGGACTCAGCTCAAGAGGCACCTCTTCGCAGTGGGCCCCCCTGCCTGTCCTAACTCCTGTTGCCCATTTCTCCATCCTGGCCATTCTCTGTCACTTTATCCTATTTCATTTTCTTGGCGACATTATCACTATTTGAATTTGGTTATATGGTTGCTTGGATATTATCTGTCTCACCCTAATGGAAGTTCCCTGAAGGCCAGGTCTGTCTTGTCCATTGCTGTGTCCCTGAGGCCTGGCCCAATGGCACAGCAGAGAGACCCAATGCACATTTGTCAGATGAATGCCTCGTTATAAAACCTTCCATCAGCATCTGCATCCCTGTCATCACCTCCAGACACGGTCGCCTTCTTGTCACCAAGAAACAGACATCCCAAGGGGGACTCAAGCGGCTGAGTCCTGTACGCCAACACTGAGCCTGCACCCGCACCCCCCGCCCCACTAGCCCCCCTCAGATTCACAGCAGTGACTCCAGAAAACCTTCCCATTCTCCCACACCCCAGCATCTCTCCTGCTGCTCTGCACAATTTGCTAGGCAGATGCAGAGGGAGAATGTTTGTGAGAGAAAGAGCAGCTGGGCCAGAAATGAAAATTGCAAGCGCTGAGCTGGAGATAGAAAAATAGAAGCAAAAAGTCACAAGAGAGGGAGAATTGACGAAGCGGGCCAAAAGCGATCAATAGGCACCCACACGCAAGCAAGCACGTGCACACACACAGACAAGAGAGAGAAAGAGGGAGAGAGAACTAGAGATGGAGAGAGAATCCCTAGGGACTAGGCAGGGACACTTTGTCCAATAAGGGACAGGTCATGTGCCCACAGTGGAGCTGGGGCTGGCCGGCCGGGTGGGTAGCTGGCCAAGGCCAGGAAGGCCTAGAGTATGTGGGGGGGCGCACGTAACCTGCCTGCCTCACAGGGCCCGGACGGACCCACCTGCTCCGGCTCCAGCTGGGCGGCCACCTCTCCACTGGCCCTGGCGGCTTCAGAGGCCTTGTCCACGGGGCTGGACTCCAGGCTGATGGTAAGGACGGCGTCGTAGACCTCCTGCAGGGGTCCGCTGTCGCTGAGAGCCAGGTAGGAGTGGTTGCGGTAGGGCAAGGTGAAGAGCATGGTATCGTAGGGCAGGAAGACCAGCCTCCCGTCTGCCAGGCCCTGGGCCCACGCTTGGCTCAGCAGGGCGGTCTGCTCCGGGCCCCCCAGGAGTGCCGAGTGCATGCAAAGCACCACAACTGGGGGGTGGGGGGAGAAGTGGCAGGCTTGCCTCTGCTGGCCTTCCCTGACACCCAGGATCTGTGGCCCGGGAGAGCTGCTCCTAACTCTCAGGTCAGCTCCCCTACCGTGAACTCATTCCTCTGCCTTCGCGCGAGAGATAGGCCCTTGGTGATAAGGCAGCCAATTTCCTCCCCAGGCCCCCAGGACAGAAGAGAGCCCCTGCCCAAGGCAAGGGTCTCACACATCTATCCAAGGTAGGGGTCCCCTGTATCTTTCCTCTTCTCCACCTGGGTCCCTGACCAGGGCTACAACCTTAGCCAACGAAGGGTCTCCACTCAGGTTCCTGCTGCAATCCCTTTCTCTAGCAAATCCAGGAAAACAGAGCCACCCAGGAAGCCTGCGGGGTCTCCTTGCTGGCGCCTGAGGCCCCCTGGTCATGTAGAAGTCAGAGCCTGGAGCCCTGGGCTCTGCTGAGCCCCTGGGTAGCCATGCTGTGTAAGCCGTGGGCCACAGGCCTCTTGCTCCCTGTGCCGGCGTAGAGGGGACGACCTTCAGAGACACACACCAGGACTGGGAAGAAAGAGAACCAGGGCTTCCTTTGCCCTATCTCTTCTGCACTGTTGGCTCTGGCTTCTAATCAAAAGAACCCTTTGTTTGATAAGTTGGGGGCACTGTTCTGCAGTTGGCCACGGGGAAAGCTGATAACCACAACCTGGGAGGAAGCGTGGACTGGGACGGGGCGGGGGGGGGGTTGGTTATTAGCCTCATGTCACCATGTCTAGTGAGGACACTAGAGCTCAGAGAGGTTTAGTGAGTTGCCTGAGGTCACACTGCTGGTAAGAGTTGGGGCCAGGAGTGTGACTCCAGCAATCTGACCCCAAAGAATATGCCCTGAACCACTCAGCCTCCTGGCTCCTGAAAGCCGGCAATTTGGTTAGAACTCAATACTCTGCAACAGGGGTGGAGAAGGAGTCTGATGAGGTGTCCCCTACCCCTTGCCGCCAAGCTCCGGCCACACAGAACTGAGCTGTCCATTGTCCCAGTCCCGTGGACGTGTTACTCCATTACCTTGCACTAGCTCATCCCTCTGCCTGGAGCGCCTTCCTCCCCATTGCCGCCTGCAATCAGCTTCTCCTTCTCAGGCCTGCCTGGTGTCACCTCCTCTGGGAAGCCTTCCCCACTCCCAAGCGAAGCAGCTCCCGCCAGACCGGAGCTCCTCACGGCTGGGGCCTGGACACCCTCTCCCCACCTCCTCCCCAGAGCCCAGCCAGGCTCGGGCCCAGGGCAGGGCTCAGTGGCTCTTGGCTGAATGAGGTGTTTACAAAGCGCTCAGCCACAAGCAGTTGCTGCTCATGACCCTGTGAGGTGGCTGTCATTATCCCCATTTCACCCACTGGAAAGCCGGGGCTCAGGGAAGGGATGTCCTGTTCCTAACGGGCAGCGGGCACCCCTGGGCCAGGTCTCGCTGTCCACCTGGCGCGAACTCTCGGCCGCACGAGCCCAGGGGCTGCCCACCCGCCCTCCTCAGGCTCCGGCTGCAGTTCCCTCAGGTGGAGGGCGCGGCGGCGGCCGTCAGGAGTCTCAGCACACTTTCCCCTGCTGCCCGCCACGCATTCTCATACTTGCCACCTTTGTCCCATTCTACTTTCTCTCTTCCACTCAGTTCTGTTCTTCTCTCTTTCTAGCCCATTCTTTCTTTTTTTGTACTGCTAGTCTCGATTCGCTAGTTTCTTGACCCCGATGGGCCACAAGCCACAGTTTGAAATAACCCCAGTCTAGATTAACTTTAAGGTCCCTTCTGTTCTCCAGGCGCCGCCCTTGCCCTACAGTCTCCCCACCGTGCGTCTCCCTAGCTGACTACTTCCTGAAAGACAGGCACTTGCCACCTCCTCCAAGAAGCCTCAGACCCCCAGGGCCCAGCCCTAAACCTCATCAGATTCTCCAAGCCTCTGTTCCCTCGGATGGCCTTGACCTCTCTGTCATAACCACCTGCGTATATTCCTGTCTCTCCATCACATCATTGCCCCCGGAGACCCGCCCCTTGTCGGTCCTGTTCCCCCACGTGACCCAGCACTCGGCACAGCAGGGGCCTGATAAAGGCAAGAAGTGGCTGGCTCAGTTGGAGAGCATGCCCCTCTTGATCTCCGGGCTGTAAGTTCAAGCCCCACGTTGGGTGTAGAGATCACTTAAAAATAAAATCTTAAAAAAAAGAAAAAAAAGTGATTCTGACTCTAGCTGCCTTCCTGGGCTCAAGTACTGCTTCGCTCTCATTTCCTTCAGTGTGCCAGGCGGGAAGCAAGGAAGCTTTTGGCTCCCACTCCACAACCAACGCTTGAATCAGAGCTCAAAATCCGACTGCACTGCTTGCCAGTTACATACCTTCTCTGAGCTGCAAAGTGCAGAGCTCAACAGGACTAGCTCACAGGCTGCAGCGAGGTTAACTGCAAGGCTGTGGTCAAGGGCTCAGGCCAGTGTCTTCATGGCCAATGAAGTCCTGTGCCCACAGGAGGAAGGCACCCAGGTACACTTACTTTTCAGGCCGTCCACACTGCAGAGCTGCTCCAGGACCTCCGTGGCCCCCTGCTCTCCGGGTCCTAGAGAGGTCACCAGCCCCACAGGCAGCCCATGTGTCCTGAGAGTCATGGCCACCTGCCGGGCTGTGGCCACCCAGATGTCCTGGTGGGAGGACATGATGGCCACGCGTGCCCAGCCTAAGTGTCTCATGATAGACAGCAGCACGTGGGCAGCCGGAGGCAAGGTGGGCACTAGCTCACCTCCCCCTTCTGGAGCTCCACATGCCCAAGAGAAGAGGGTCTTGCCCCAGCCTTGAGCCAGCAGCGCTGCTGCTTGGCAGTAACCGGGATTGACAGGGCCCACAAAAGCAGCTGTGGTATTCTTGTGGGCCAGGAACATGGCCAGGGCATGAGGGGTGTCACAGCCTGTGGAGAGGACCACGGAAACCAGCCTTGAACCCAGCACCAGTGAGGGGTCCTGGTTGGCTTGGTCCACAGCCAGTTGGGCAGCCACACTGGGGAGGGCCTGGGCAAAGATGGGGTCACAGGCCCAGGGACCCAGCACCCCTAAGGTGAAGGTTCCTGCCCCCAGGGCCAGATCAGGGAAGGAGCCAACCCACAGGAGGGCACCCCAAAGCACCACAGAGAGAAGAGGAGGGAAAAAGGCTGTCCTCGGATGACTGACAGTGGCCCCCCATCGGCCCTGGGAGGGCAGGCACATCTTCTCGTGTGGCGCACCCAGCACCAACCTTCAGGGTACAAGCCCCCCTGTAAGTCCTGGGAAAGGGAGACAAGAATAAAATTTGCGCTCTAACACTTTCTGCCATTACTCCCTGCGTGATTTTGAAGCAGACGGCACCACTCCCCAGAACCTCAGCCTCCTCACTGATAAAATGAGGGATTTGGACCCATCATGTCTGAAGACTCCCCCCCCATTTTAGGGTCCTAACATCCTCCCCAAGGCCGACTCACAGCCTGGTGATGCCCATGCACGATCCTGGGCTGAAGCTCAGTCACTCATTGTGGGCTCCAGAGTCAGAGCTATCCAGCCCCGTCTCACTGCTTCCCCGCCTTGTTGCCCTAGACCCATCTCTGAGGTTCTGACCCTCACTTCCCTCTTCTATAGAAATGTGGGAAACAAAGCTTACTTTATGCAGGGACTGTGACCATTAAGTGGGCATGACATGAAGCACTTAGCACAGTCCCTGGTACTTAGGTGTTCCATAAATCCTGCTTTTCTCAACCTATTATTTGTTTCCTGCACTCATCCCAGTTGGGCCAGTTCTCCTGGTGCCCCTCTGAGACTCCTATGCCCATCCCCTCAAGCCCAGCACCGTCCTCCAGCACTTGACTCTGCTGGGCTCCAGGGCCCATAGTGCAAGCATGTTTGTAGCAAGTGGGTTTACAATACACGTGCACAGTCCTCTCTCTAATCCGCTCAGCCCTGTTCAGACAAAGGTCATTCTATCTCCACGGTACAGATGAGGAAACTAAGGGAGACTGAATGGAGTTGGCAGAGAGCCAGGATGAGGACAAGTCTCTCTAACTCATCCTCCACCCCACACAGGACCTCCTTGACAAGGACATTTGGACTAGAGCACCCCCCACTCCATCCCACTGTCCCAGGACTTTGATGTCCACCTTGCAACCCTGCCACTTCTGCTTGGCCTCTGCCTACAGCCTGGTCATGGCCCATTCCCCAGGCACAGCCCTCGGCCAAGTCCTCCCACCCCCTTAGTGCAGCGAGCAGCCTTCCTCTCTGGGTGCCCCATATGGATAAAATCCAATCTCACCCTTAAGAAACTGCCAGGCCGGTAGGGAGGTAGGTTCCAGCCAAGAGAAGAGCTGGTCGACCACAAGTGCAGGCAGTAAGCAGGACCAGTAAGGAGGTGCTGTGAGCTTAGGGAGGGCTTCCCAGGGGAGGCAAGCTGGAAGCAGCCTACGCTTGGAAGTGTAGGTCAGGAGAGTAAAGGGATGCCTTCTCAATGCCAACAGCAATGGTCTGTGCAGAGGAAGTCCTTAGAAATTATGTTCAGGGGCGCCTGGGTGGTGCAGTCGGTTAAATGTCCGACTCTGTTTCGGCTCAGGTCGTGATCCAAGGGTTGTGAGATCGAGCCTGTGTGAGCACGGAGCCTGCTTGAGAGTCTCTCTCCCTCTCCCTCTGCCCCTCCCACTCGCGCTCTCTCTCTCTCTCTTTCTCTCTCAAATAAATAAATCTTAAAAAAAAAGAAATTATGTTCAGTGCAGAGGGGTAAGAAGGTCCTTGGAATCACAGAGCGGAATAAATCCGGATTTTATCACTCACTTGTCCCTAACCCTGGATGAGATGCTTAACGTCTCTGGCCTCCATTTTCTCGCCTGTAAAGTGGAGATGACAGTAGTTATCTGGCAGATATTGTGGCAAAAACTAAAATGCATAGAGTATCTACACTGGGGCAATCATTATGGTAGGGAGGTAAGTAAGTAGTAAGTAGTACTTGCCGAATGGGAGTAAGAGGGTACTTACTCGGAAGAGTTAGCATCATCACCAGCACTGTCACTGCCACAATCATCACCATCTTGGGATCTTTGGGGAGTGGCCAGGCTACTGTGGTGTAGAAAGAGCTGGACAGGGAGGTGGAGGCCTGAGTTTCAGCCGCAGCCCTGCCCCCACCCCCCTTGAGGGCTCAGCCTCCCGATCTGGGAGAGTAGCCAGTCGGCAGTGCTGGCCACCCCTGCGATGCCACCCTTCTCCCCGCTCCGGGCTCAGGGACTTGGGGAGGGCTGCTCTCCTGCCAGCCTCCGAGGAGCGCCCTGGGCCCTCCCTCCTCCTCTGTCATGATGTGCCAAGTGGTCTCCTAGCATCCCCACCCCTCGGGGTGAACCCCTCTGGAGCAGCTGGGCTTGTTCTGGGCTCCCGGAGAGCTAATTGTTTCCGGTTGGAAACGTAAGCCTACTTGCCTGATATGAATGACAACCGCCTCCCCCCTTATTTGTACTTTCTAAAGCACCTGTGATCCACGACTTTGCCTTGTCCTCTCCGAGGCCCCCAAGAAGAGACCTTTTACCCTCTTCTTCAGAGGAGGAAACTGACTCTGGTGGAACAGCCATGTGATGTCTGAGCTCTCGCCAAAAGTTAGAGCTGAGTTGGAATTGGAGCTTGGCTTCCTACTTCCCAACCAAAGACAATAATCCCCATTTTATCAAACACCTAGAACATCACAGCTGAAGGATCCTTGAAGAGCTAAACATCTAAACCAACCCCTCTGTGTAAAGATGGAGAAACTGAGGCACAGAAGGCATATGGATTTCCTTCCGTCTCACAAAGCAGCAGCAAGCTGCCCTGGCCCCATGGTCCCGCTGGCCACACTGAGCGTCTCAGGAATCCTGCAGCTGATGGCATGCAGGGACTCAGAGAACTCAGGCGTGGAGCTACTTTTAGCTCCAGCTCTGCTCTCGACTTGTGGAACAGAGCCCACACCCCTTTCTGTGCCTTGGTTTTCCCATCTGTACAGGGAGGGCTTAGTTTAGATGTAGGTACCCAAAGATCCTTCAGCTCTAGTGCTCTAGTTGTCAGTAAAAATCAGGAAATGATTTGTTTTTGTCTCTGAAGCTGGCCACGTCCCATGTGTCAGCCCTTCCCCCAGGAGTGTGTGAGCTGCCAGTGCTCCCACCTCCAGCACAATGGGTTAATTCAACACCCTTCTGGGGAAAACCATTTGTATTTTTAGACTCTAGGAGATGGATGCCAATGATTAGGCACATATTGCTTGGCTCATAGAGCCAAGCCCATGGAATTAATCAACTCATAGTATCCAAACCCAAAAAGATAAAGATGCCTTTGGCTGCATTAAAAGACAAATGAACAAAATAAAAAAGGTAATAGGAACCCAAGGAAGGAGGACAGAGGATTCCTGTTAGAGCCAGGGCCCCTTCAGCTCCTGTAGCCAAGGGTCACCCTGCTGACACCCCCCCCCCCAACCTGGCCCTTCTTGCCTTCCTTCAGGGCAGCTCCCCGAGGACCCACCTACCATGCTGTGCTATGCTGTGCCATTGGGGCTGACTCACTGTCTCTTTGAGGATCCTAAGGTTGCTGCACCGGGTCTCAGATGTCAAGCTCTTCAAGTAGGTTCTGGCTTGGGGAGCCCCCATTCCCACCACAGCCCCCATGGTTAACACTCCAGCGCCAGCTGCCTGTCAGCTTCCCAGCCCTCTTGCCCAAGGAGTGCCTCATATATGGCTCATTTCCTCCCTGTACCCCTCAGGGGCATGAAGAAGCCACTTGGAAAATTTGATCTATTCAAGCTCTAGGGCTCTGGGGAGCCAAGCAGAGAAAGGAAGGGGAGAATGAAGGACAAAGGAACTGAGGGAGGAAGGGAGGGAGGATGTCTTCAGCACTTCAGACAGCTCCAGGCCTGGCTTGTACTCCCTGGAGGAAAGAAAGATAGGCTAATGCTAAAGTAACCAGCATTACTGAGCATCCAGTATGTGCCAAGCCCTGTGCTGGGCAGTATTTATACAACCCAGTGAGAGAGGTATTACTGTTATTCCCATTTAATAGATAAGGAAAATACTACCCAGAGAGGTTAGATAATTTGACCAAGGGCACAGAGCTAGTAAATGGTAGGGCCAACTACACATCCAAGCTTCTGCTCATCACAACACATTGATTCTTTGGGATTATAATGGTGATTTTTCTGTCTTCATTTTTGGGGTGGACCCTTCTATGGAAATAGATACCACAGTCCAGTGGATTTTCAACTTTTCCTTTTCCACCTGTTCTCTCCTACTTAGGCAAAATTGACCTTTACTAAGTACACAAAATATTTACCATGTGCTAGTGATCCCAACTCATTTAATTCTTACAACAACCTTGTAAAGTGGGTGTTGTATTTTGCTTTGTTCACATCACTTAATTCATACTAACAATATTTACTGAGCACCTACATGTTTCAGGAACTGTTCACTTAAGATACACCAACAAACGAAAGAACCAAAGTTTTTTTTCCCCTAACAGAACTAACTTTCTAACAGGAGTAGGGCATCAACACACAATACACGTGATAAATAGATTTATTTTTTATTTTACAAAGTGATAGGTGGTATAAAAAAAGAAAAAGTAAAGAAGGTAATAATGTATTATAATTCAGTATAAGTATTTTCGATATTGCTACACAATCTTCATATTTATCTCAATGGTCAAGGAACACACTGGGTGGATGTGTCATAAGTTAGTAATTATCTTTTTGTTGGATATTTTTAGCCCTAATCTTGTTCTGGAAGGATTTTAGGGTCCTTGTTGATGTGCCAGACTCATGCCTGTTTGCTCTCAGATCCATTCACTGACCTCCCCAAACCTGACTGGGCTCCGGATAGGGAGGTTAGAGAGGGCCCTCTGTCCCACAGAGAGCTGACCTTGAAAACTTCATTCCCAGCTTCCCTTGCCCCTGGTTTCTGGCTGGATCTAGCCAAAAGGAGACACTCACAGGAGACTGGAGGCAAGGGGAAAGAGAGAAGCCAGAGATGCCCCACTCCCACCCCCGCCTGTGGAAAGTATCCCAGTGACGGCTATGTCTCTCTGGTTCTGGCCTCTTCAAACAACCCTCTGGATGCAGCTCCAATTTCTGGGCTCAGGTACTACCGCCTCCTTCCCCCCTTCTCCCTTCCCCAGTAGGGGTGGTAGAGATTTCCTACTGTTGCCAATGTCTGAACTGCTTCATATCCTAACATCTTTGTAATCACTCTGCCACTATTGATATACTGATGAGGACTATGTTTTCCAGAATATACCATGACTCATATACTCTATATCTGAGTTGTTTGCAATTTCTCACCATTATGAATAATTCTTTAATAGATATCATGCCTTTATCATCTTTTGAATTTTTTCTTTATGATAAACCTTCAGGAATAGCCATACTAGATCAAAGAATAGGAACATTTTTAAGGTACTCATTACATATTGCTTCATATTATAATGTATTAATGTCAAGGTATTCTTTAGGTAATT